CGCCGCGGGGCGCGCCACTTGTTATCGAAATATCAAAAATATGGCAATTCCTATTGTTTTTCACTCAATCTCGCGAACCGCTCATTTTACAGAAAATTTTATATCATTACATTAAAGAAGGATAAATTTGTGACAGTTTAAGCCCAACAGCAAGTATGTAGCGTAAATAATGGTCAAAATACAGACCATCAAAATAAATAAATTTTCCAAAGACCGAAAAAAATTGTGGTTTTTTCAATATTTCCACAATATAGTTGTTTGAAGCAAACACCGTATTGATTTAGAGAGTATGACAGTTTATTTGCTATTTATAGAAAATAAATTAAAGTATGAATAAAAATACCCCCACCTCAGCAAACCTGCAGACTAAGCGAATTTCCATTTGCTTGATTTGATTTCCACAAACCTATTTAAATAACATTAGGTTTAACCGGTGCCTAGGTTTGCTGCTACAGGGAGGGTTATATAGTATATAAAATAATAATAGTATGATAAGAAACAAATAAATTTACCCAATTTTATAAAAATGTGTCTATAAATAAGGAAAAAAACAATAATTAAAAAATCTTCGCTATTGGAATAACTTGAGGTTTTTTTTAATTTACATTTTTTAATTTTCTCCGTAACCAATAACTGTAAAAAAACATTTTAATGTACTAAATTATATTTTTTTAAGCTCTACAAAATGGTCTAAAGATACATTGTAAAATTGTATGTTTTAAGGGTCAAAAATACGAAAAACCCGTTCAAACAAAAAACCCTATAAAGCAACCGTTCCCATGGCCTGATCAAATCAAATCAAAATCTGTTTTATTTCCAAACATTTTTACAATCTATACATATACAAAATACGAACAATAGTCCCGCATGGGCCGTAAAAGACCTGTGCGCAGGACGAGCTCTATTACAAATCAAATTAAAAATATTCTTAAAAATTAAAACTACATTAATCAAAATAGTATTTACAACTAAGCTATGAGACAGCTACAGGAATAGTTAATGCTAAGTAAAAGGTAGTCGAGTGAATGGAGTTGCAGTTACTAATGTCTGTACGCTAAATATTGTTTGGTGTACTTGTGTATTTATTATTGTTATGTATTGTATACTGAACTGATAAGTGTCTCAGACTGATCGAGCCCAATCTCCGACAGCCAACTGCTTACCGAAGGTTTATAAACTGGAAGAGATACCTGTAGATCTCTAATCTCTGATGGTATATTCCTATACAAAAAATTCGCAATATAAAAAGCATTGGTAAGGTTTGCAGACTTGAAAACTCGGGGTACCTGCATACCTACATTTACAGCTCCTCTGGTGGGATAGTTATGTGTGATTGGCGTCACTATCAAATCTTTATTGGAGTAGGTATATACAAGTAAAGTTTTGATAAAAAGTTGACGCACCGAAAGTAATTGAGTGTTTTTGAATAATAAATTTGTAGGGAAACGCCTGTTGAATTATAAAGCTATTTTAATAATTAGTTTTTGTATGACAAACAGTGGCTTTAAAATATTGCTACTAGCTCCTCCCCATACTATAATTCCATATTGAAGTACCGATTGGACAAATGCATAGTATAACATTTTTATTTCAATAATGTTGAGTATTTTGCGTACTTTTCTAAAAACATAAATAAATTTCCTAAGTCTTGTCTTATACTTCAATGATCATGCTTCGCGAACTCGTTTTAATAAATGTAGGTTTACATGCCGAAAAACAGACCTTCAAAATATACCTTCAACGGCAAAACTACTCTTCCCAAAGCTGTCAAATATTTTTACATAAACATTTAAACTAAGCTTTGGGTACAATACTTTCACATGAAAACAAAATAAAACAGTTTAACATAGTTAACAGTTTATTGAGGCTGAAAGATCAGGCAAATAAGATCTTCCAATTACAATCACTCTACAGATCTTCCAGGCAGCGGGTAATTTTTCCACGCCAAGTGCGCCCATCTATACAGGACATGCTGAATATGAATTGAAATACAGGATTAATATTGAAGAACAAAAAAAAATTCACAAAGATCGGAAATTTCACTACAAGACGTACAGACCAGTTCTGGTGTGGAATTTGGTCTGATTAGGTCATCGAACAGGCCCTCTTAAAGACAATGAAAAGCTCTGGTGGATTGACTCGGGGACGAGGGATAACAGACAAAATGTTGTAACTTGATGGGTGCTTGGGATGATCCGTCCTCATCAAATCTGTAGGAAGTTGAGAAATATTATAAAAAATTACGTCATTTGAACATTAACAGTGAGCAACATGTTGACGTGCGCCATTCTCGCATTGCTCGAGACAACGAAATTGATGAAAAGATTCAATAGTGGTTTCCTCAACACACACCATTCAATATAAATGATATGCTGATTATTAGCAAATTTACCTTCGAATACGCTATTACAGTAGGTCTCATGGTAAGACCTAGACCCGGGACCGATTTACTTTTTCATTTTGATATTCCAAGAGGCCAAAAATACTGTTGGTTCAAATTGTTATAACATATATAAATATATATATACCGGGTGTCTGAAAAAGACTCCATAGTTTTAAACATACCTCACGATACTATTGTTCAAATGGATGAGTAATAATCATTTCGTGCTGTGTAGAGTATATTTCAAAGTTTTAGTTTCGTACGTTGGCAATGAGTTGCGTACACCTATTTGACCTTGAACATAGTTTTGGTTATAAATTATAATACAAATAATAAAATATTAAAGATAAAAATGAGTAAAAATATTTTGCATGTAAGCAGGGCTACAAATGGTTCGCATATTGAGGTGTGATAGTTTTAAAATAACTTTTATTTAATTACCTTTCATTTAATGTATCAGCATAGCCTTCTCTATGGTATCAGTCGTTGAACAGTAGTTTGTATCTAGTACAATAAATAAATAAATTTTCAAACTAGGTAAGTTTTTTGGAGACCCTGTATCTAAAAAAACTAAAGATTTTACTAAACTGTATCCAAAAAAGTTATTATCGTCCGTTAGCAAGATGATTCCCAAAAATCATCCGATTTAGTGGAATTTGGTACAAACATTACTTTTATTTGTGAATCAAGAGATGGACTATTTATCATTTACTTTGTATTGTAAGTGACTTAGCCTATTGCTTTTGCTTAATGGCCTATATAAATCATTGAATCATTGAATAATGCACACGCACATTTATTTATTAAAACGAGTTCGCAAAGCATGATCGGCATGATAAGGCCATAGGAACGGTTGCTTTATAGGTATTTTGCCAGTAAGAATATTTTTTTTTCATTTTTAACACTTAAAACATAAAATTTTACATTTGTATCATTAGAGAATTTTGAAGAGCTTAAAAACAGATAATTAAGTACATTAAAATGTTTTTTAAAGTGATTGGTTACGGAGAAAATTAAAAAATGTAAATTAAAAAAACCTCAAGTTATTCCAATAGCGAAGATTTTTAATTATTGTTTTTTTCCTTATTTATAGACACATTTTTATAAAATTGGGTAAATGTATTTGTTTCTTATCATACTATCATTATTCTATAAACTATATAACCCTCCCTGTAGCAGCAAACCTAGGCACCAGTTAAACCTAATGTTATTTAAATAGGTTTGTGAAAATCAAATCAAGCAAATGGAAATTCACTTAGTCTGCAGGTTTGCTGAGGTGGGGGTATTTTTATTCATACTTTAATTTATTTTCTATAAATAGCAAATAAACTGTCATACTCTCTAAATCAATACGGTGTTTGCTTCAAACAACTATATTGTGGAAATATTGAAAAACCCACAATTTTTATCGGTCTTTGGAAAATTTATTAATTTTGATGGTCTGTATTTTGACCATTATTTACGCTACATACTTGCTGTTGGGCTTAAACTGCCACAAATTTATTCTTCTTTAATGTAATAATATAAAATTTTCGGTACAATCAACGGTTCGCGAGATTGAGTGAAAAACAATAGGAATTGCCATATTTTTGATATTTCGATAACAAGTGGCGCGCCCCGCGGCGAGCGGCAGTATCTCGAGGTGGATAACTTGGATTTTATGTTATGGGCCCAATACTAACAACATATCCAAAAATCAGAACTACCCGACCTTTTGCACAGCAACCCCATATTTTCTGACAGATTTACTGGACTACATGGAAAATTTGGAGGCCCATTGGGCTTAGCCAAGAGAAATATGAAAATAAAACGATACAGTATTGCATTGTCATCCATTTGTGAGCTATATTTCAAGTTTCAAGTCTCTAACTCATCAGGAAGTTAGTTTAAAATTGATATCAAAATTTGTACCGGACAAGAGAGCGAGCTAATAAAAAAAAGCCCATGGGGAGTAGCCCAAGGGGAAATTAAATGATATAATATTGCATTGTCATCCATTTGTGAGCTATGTTTCAAGTTTCAAGTCTCTAGCTCATGGGGAACTCTGTTTAAAATTGATATCAAAATTTGTAAGAAAGCAAGCTAATAAAAACAAGCCCATGGGTCGTAGCCCAAGCGAAATATGAAAATTAAATGATATAATATTACATTGTCATCCATTTGTGAGCTATGTTTCAAGTATCAAGTCTCTAGCTCATCAGGAAGTTAGTATAAAATTGATTGCAAAATTTGTACCGGACAATAAAGCGAGCTGATAAAAACATTTCAAAAAGTGTTTTGTTTAGTGAAATCTTATAATAGCTTACACACCTCAGCTTAAACATATATGAATTTGAATGGATGGTGTTTTTAGCCTCAGGGGACATAAAAAGAATGTCCCCAGTCCTGGATTTAGGTCTTACCATGAGACCTAAGACGGTAGTGGCCTATTCCCTCTATGAGAAATTCGCTAAAACATAAATCATATTACCATTTGGCAAATAAAATGCCTTAATAAATTTTCAATTGCATTTTCCTGCAAATATAATACATTTTTAAGTTTCCTAGGGCTACATGTATGCTAAACCACAGGGTTTTTGATCTCTGAAAAAAATAGGATAGAAAAAAAGAAGTAGAGTTTATATAAAACATGTATTATTATAATTTACACACTTATACAAAGCTGGTGTCAATTTATTTATACACCTTTCCTCCATTTCTCGGCAGATGTGAACTCTGTCATACCCTTGCCACTAACTCCGCAAGTGCCGATTCCTACTCGGCCATTTACATTGTCCGGTGATGCAAATATACTCTTCCTGATTATCCCCTTTTTTGTTGTCTGAAAAAAAAAACAGTGCAACAAACTTACTCAAAAGTTATATAGGTATCTATCTATTATATTATAAAGAATATGTAGTTTATGCATGTACAGTAGAACTTCTCATATCTAACCATGACGGGAACAGCGAAAAGGTCGGATATCGGGAGGAGCATATCATGCAGTTTCAGCGACATCGGTAATCGTCTCTCGAGATTGCAAAATCACCCGTGAGCGTACATGCAGTCTACGTGACTTTGGTAATCTTCTCTGGCAATGGTGGCAACACCTGTAGGCGTAACTTGCAGTCCCCGCGACTTCCGGTAATCGTCTCCCGCACCCAGGCAGCAACACCTGTTATCGGCCACAGTGGTGATCGGCTGCCGCAATTACGGCAACATCCGCAATCGGCCTTTCGGTTAATCGATCGCCCTCGGCATTATCGCCCCCAGACAGGAAACTAGTAGACCTGGGTATTTTGAGGTTGTCCAAATGGTAAGTCCGAATGTGCACTGAATTTACTAAGTTAATTGGTGAATTTAAATTAAAATAAACAAGAATATCCTGAGGAGTCGGTTTTTCCGAGGTCGGATATAAGGGGTTTTATTGTATGTCAGTTTGTTTGTTCAAACTGAACACAAAAACGAATGAACTGTAAACTCTCCACACAATATTCCTTTTAGGCTAGGACTATTCTATGTTTAATAACAGAACGATATACAAAAAGTAGTGATGGGCGGATCCAAGAAAATGTCGGTACCGGATCCGGATCTGGATCTTGAAAAATTCAGATCCGGATCCAGATAACCACTGTCATAAGGGCTTGTTAAAAAACCTAATTAACAGAATACCAATTTAAATCATACTGTTTAAAATTAAATTGGTAATGTTTAAAGGTTAATATATCTTATATATAGAGTAATCTCCAGTTGAGCCCATAATCCCTCATTTTTGGGGACACTAAAACTTTTCCAAATCTTAAAATGAAACTATTAGTTGATGATATTAGTTGGGCAATGTCACAGTACTGTATATTACGACGCCAATAACCTGTATGGTTAGGCAATGTCACAGTATTGTATATTACGACGTCAATAACCTGTATGGTTAGGCAATGTCACAGTACTGTATATTACGACGTCAATAACCTGTACGGATGGGCAATGGCACAGAACTGTATATTACGACGCCAATAACCTCTATGGTAGGGCAATGTCACAGTACTGTATATTACGACGCCAATAACCTGTATGGTTAGGCAATACAGTATTGTATATTACGACGTCAATAACCTGTATGGTTAGACAATGTCACAGTACTGTATATTACGACGTCAATAACCTGTATGGTTAGGCAATGTCACAGTATTGTATATTACGACGTCAATAACCTGTATGGTTAGGCAATGTCACAGTACTGTATATTACGACGTCAATAACCTGTACGGATGGGCAATGGCACAGAACTGTATATTACGACGCCAATAACCTCTATGGTAGGGCAATGTCACAGTACTGTATATTACGACGCCAATAACCTGTATGGTTAGACAATGTCACAGTACTGTATATTACGACGTCAATAACCTGTACGGATGGGCAATGGCACAGTACTGTATATTACGACGCCAATAACCTGTATGGTTAGGCAATGTCACAGTATTGTATATTACGACGTCAATAACCTGTATGGTTAGGCAATGTCACAGTACTGTATATTACGACGTCAATAACTTCTATGGTTGGACAATGTCACAGTACTGTATATTACGACATCAATAACCTGTATGGTTAGGCAATGTCACAGTATTGTATATTACGACGTCAATAACCTGTATGGTTAGGCAATGTCACAGTACTGTATATTACGACGTCAATAACCTGTACGGATGGGCAATGGCACAGTACTGTATATTACGACGCCAATAACCTCTATGGTAGGGCAATGTCATAGTACTGTATATTACGACGTCAATAACCTCAAGGGTAGGGCAATGTCACAGTACTGTATATTACGACGTCAATAACCTGTATGGTTAGGCAATGTCACAGTACTGTATATTACGACGTCAATAACTTCTATGGTTGGACAATGTCACAGTACTGTATATTACGACATCAATAACCTCTATCCCTAACTGATTTAGAAATGTCTGCTAAATTAGAATTTAAAAGTCTGAATCAGTTTTTAAAAGACCATAATTTAGTACTTAATACTAGTAAAACTAATTTCATTCTTTTCCAAACAAAAAGAGACAAAAATGATAAAAGTATAAAGTTAGATACCGGTATAGATACAAATTCCATTGCTCAAGTTAAAACCTCAAAACTATTGGGTTTGATAATAGATGAGGATTTAAGCTGGAATAAACATGTTGAGTATTTAATAAAAAAACTAAATTCTGGTATATTCGTCCTAAGAACAATGTCATATCTCTGTGAAGGATCAGTCCTTAAAATGATATATCATGCTCATATTGAATCACATATTAACTATGGAATTAGTGTTTATGGTGGGACAAAGAAAAAGAATTTTAAAAAGATTTTGAAAATACAAAAAAAAGCAATCAGGATAATACATAAATTGAAATATAACCAGTCCGTCAAATCTTATTTTAAAGGGATGGGCATTTTTACAGTTCACTCCTTATATATTTTTGAAACAATTAAATATTTTTTAAATATTGCTGAGACTCAAGAATTGCCTGTGCATAATTATAATACAAGGGGTAAAAATTATTTAGCTAAAGAAAAACCAAGACTGGAACTTTTTAAAAATAAACCTTCTTATATTGGAAATTATTTTTTTAGAAAACTTCCTAGTTTTTAAAAAAACGAAAAGGACAAATCTAAATTTATGAAAAAAATGAAGGCATTCTTACTTGACCTTGCACCTTACAAAATAGAAGATTATAGTAATTTAAATTTAAAATAATGTAGCCTATAGTATTTTGTTTAAATGTTTCTTATTGCTAATTTAGGTAGTAAGTAACAATAGGCACTATTCATGTACGAAAATTTGTACTGTGTGAATAAAGACTCTTTGAATCTTGAATCTATGGTTAGTCAATGTTACAGTATATGCCTCATAAAAAAAATATATTCTCGAATCCCGATCTTTTCTTAAGATTCAGTGGATTCGAGATCCGGATTCGACACATCCCTAGTCGTAATATAAAACACTAAAGCCTCGTTCACATGGGGCGAGTTTACACGCAACTCGCCGGCGTGTAAGAAGCCGGCGAGTTGGCAAGTGGACAAGCTCCGTGTGAACGAATACAAGCACACTCGTAGTGTAGAAAGACGCCGGCGAGTGCGCTTGTAGTCATTCACACGATGCTTTTTCCACTCGCTCAGTAGCTGGCTTGAACTAAATCCTCCGGCATCTTCGAATAACATGCGCACAAGCACAAACAACTATGTTCACACTGGGCTACTTTACACGCCTACTCGCTCAAATGCTGGCGAGTTGGAGTGTAAAGTAGCGGCAGCGTCAACTTTTTCCAGAGCTTTTTTACAAGCAGCTTTTGAGCGAGTACGTCGTTCACACTGAGCTATTTTACTAGCTGCGTGTAAAAAATCCGGCTTGTAGCTTGCAAACTCGCCCCATGTGAACGGGGCTTAAGGTGGATCTTTCTAGATTTTAAAAGCATAAAATTACATTCTTACCTTATGACTGAATGCCAGCCATTTGTTCTTTTCTTGCTCCCTTTCCTCTTCTAATTGTTTATATCTTTGTAACTTCTTCTGTTTCTTTTTCTTCTGATATTCTCTAACTTTTGAAATAGGTTGTTTTCTAAAAAAATTAAGTTATGCAATAAGTGTGTAAATTCTACTAAAGGATTACTTTCTAAAAATGGTCTATTAATTAACAACAGGTTTATTTGAACAAGCTTGTTTGAACAACTGTTCATCCTACTAATATTTTAAGTGAGAAAGTTTGGATGTATGGATGGATGGATAGATGGATGTTAGAGACAAGTAAACGCAAAAAAATACTGGTTGGATTGGGCTGAAATTTGGTGTCGATTAACATATAGACACATTATTATCTCAAAAATCCATCCGGGCTCCCCCCAGTGGCTCTGGAGTTTTCCATTTTAACCTTATGAGTATTCATATTATTCATAGTATTCATATATAAAGGAATAAAAGAATTTTGTCAGCTGTTTCAACTACACAAGTTGGTTCTATCATAGACAAAAAAATTAAATATTGACTGTCAGCCGTGCTACGGTAACAATAGGTTCTGGCACGCACCGCTGGGAGCACTGTATAGGCTAGTTACGTAGCGCGTACACCATAACTACATGGCGCTCCCAGCGGTGTGCGTCAGAACCTATGATAGCGGTTATCATAAAAACCGCACAGCTGACAGTCTATATTAAATTCTTTTTGTCTATGGTTCTATGATATTAAATAGCACTAAACAGTTATAAGGTTTACCATTAGGATGTATGAGCTGACAGAATAAATGAAATGAGTGATTTTGACTACATGATCCGAAAATAGCTATTAGGCCTAACGAAATTAAGTAAAACTATTGTCTAACACGGTACCTCCATGGGGGCCATACCCCCATTTCCCACGTCTTTAGCAAGGCATCCTTCTGGGTTGACAGCAGAGACACAACAGCCAGTGTTGGCGTCGTGCTCCCCTAGTCTCCTCCGTGCGCATGGGCGACCATAATGTCCTAGGTAGTGTATCATGGCTTGAACGTGGCAGGATATTTAAATTATTGTGGACTGATCTCCACACACACAAAATAATTATTGGGAAAAAATTACCTTCTTTGGTATAAAGGTGTTATAAAAATCAGCTTTTTATGTACTGGTATGTCAGATCCAATTCAACATGAACGGATCCTTATCACAGAATTAAACCCACATTGATTATTCACTGATTTAACAGTACCAAGTACAACATTCTGACTATAAGGTCAGCCCCGCTTCTATCTACATTATAGTAATACTGTAGGTACAATTAAAGATATAGTTAATGTAGATTGCAAAAAATGACATACTTGTGTTTTAAGCTTCCTTCTTGATGAGGTAATTCTTTTATGAACTCCAATGTGGACACTTGCGCACTCTTGTACTGGTCAAAGATCACTGACACCTCTTCTCCATCGATGCTTTCAATTGTGGCTTCATAGTACCTATGTACAATGTTACAGAATTGAAATACATGCTTAAGGTTTTACATTTCTTACCTCTATAATGGGTCTACTAATACTTTTTATCACAGAATAAAATATCATAGGCTCTACTTATACGAGAAAAGGATTGGTTATCAAATCTCATAGTAAAAAGGGGATCAGTGTCTTTTTTCAAGTTAAAGTAAGGTAGTGGTTTATGGGTACTTTGCTATTATACGGAGGCCACTCTAATACAACGCGCTGCGGCGGTTATGTTAGGTTGGGTTATCATAAATAGAAAGTATCACTCATCTGGTATCGTTTGATTCATAATGAAACAAGGAAATCCCTACAAACATATTTATGATAACCCAGCATATCATAACCGCCGCAGGGTGCTGTAAAATATGTGGCCTCCGTATAATACCAAAGTAGCGGTTTTGTCCACAATCAATCCAAAACTTACCTTTTACACCCAAATTAAAAAAGGACACCCTATACCTGTAGAAAAATGCACTAAAACCTTATGAATGTTTAGAAAAAGCACAATAAACAGACTACAAATACACTGTAGAATCCCAATCAACCGACCTAGAAACTGGCCAACTAGGTTGGATAAGTGAAAAGACTGCATGGTACAGTAATTAAAAACTCCTTTCAAAAGGGGCCTTTGATTCAATTAAATTTCTCCCTTGTCAAAACTTAATTAAGGTCATAAATGAAAAATAACTTACAAAGCGAGCACACACCCACTACTTTGTAGAGTAAACCGTAAGATCAAGCAACACAAAACCACTCAACCACAGGGCTCTGTTCTCACTAATACTAAGACATGAGAAGTAGCAGAGGCAGAGAGACATGTATGAGGATTTGATGAGTTGAGTAGTATGCAGTACATCAAAACAATAAACAAATACAGTCAAGGGTGACAAAAGGGTTTGTATCAAAGCACCTGCTAGTGTGCTATGTATCTGTGAGTATACAGTCATTCCATATCATACAGAAATAGGATGCAATATTAGAGTATTTGATCATTTGTAGGAAGAATCAAATTTATACAGAAGAAGATTGGATGACCGACGATTAGAGAATCAAAACTGTAATACTGTAGCCTACTGTACGATTTAAAACATGTAAGAATTAGATTATTTTGAGTTCATATTTTAGAAAAAAGCATTTAGCTTGGATTAAAGAATTATATAGGATTTAGAGGACACAGCTAACTCACCAAAGGAAAGGTTGCAGACAAGCCACAGCACAAATATGTACCTACACACAAAATACTTGAAATTTTGCAAGTACCTAGATGTGTAGTTACAAATACAACCTGGTTTGGTTACCTTTGTAACTTTCATCTACTTCTGAAGAAGCCTCTGAAAGAGGCGAAATATCAACTCTTTTGTGAGTACATAATTTGTTTTGCTGTTACTTGTCTGTAACCTTTCTTCAGATGAGTTAGCTGTGTCCTCTCCATATAGTTCTTTATTTGAGTGTAAAGATTTTAAGTGTTTGTAACTAATCTGTGTAAAATTAGGGATACAAAGAGAGTAACTCATGCTAAAGAGAAACTCACTGGCCGTCCTGTGTCCACAAGGCGAGGCAGCGGTCTCCAACTATCCATTCGTGTTTGGATTTATGCGATGTTGCTGCTTCCAAAATAGAGTCCTCGATTTCCCCTTCTGCTGAATCTGAAATAATACAAATTGACAACAAATAATTATTGTGCCTTATACAATAAGCATAGGCTATATTAGCTAACTCTGTAGTGAGTCAGGACATGAGAGCTTAAGATAGAGAGCCACTCTTTTCAGAAAGTAAATAGTTTTCAGTATCTAGGAGTCCTATTATCAGACAACAATAATGAAGAATTGGAAGTGTTAAACAGGTTAAATTCGGCTAACAGGTCCCTCCATGCATGCAATAGATTGTTAAGCTCAAAATTATTATCCCACAACACCAAATTACGTATTTATAAAACAATAATAAGACCAGTTTTACTGTATGGCTCAGAAACATGGGCAATGAGCAAAAAAATAGAAAAGAAAATTATAACATTTGAAAACAAGGTTCTCAGGAAAATATATGGCCCGACGCTCGAAGATGGAATATGGAGAATGAGACACAACATCGAGATTAGAGAGCGCTATAAAGACCCTGACATCATAGCGGAAGTCAAGAGCAGAAGATTGAGATGGTTTGGTCATATTTCGAGAAGAGAGGAAGACTCCACTACGAGAAATGTACTTGATAGAAACCCCGAAGGCAGGAGACCACGAGGCCGTCCCAAACTTAGATGGAAGGATCAAGTACAAAAAGATGTAAGAAGACTGGGAAGGAGTGAAAATGACACCAAAGACAGAGACATCTGGAGGCAGTGTGTGGGCGAGGCCAAGTACCTCTTAGGGTACCAGTGGCCAATCCAGTAAGTAAGTAGTGAGTCAGGAAAAAATAACACAAATCATTTTACATTGAAGTACCTAAATACGAGACATTTGTATTAAACTATTACCCATTAATCCGGCTATGAATTACCACTCTAAATACGTCTGAACAGTCACAACATCATCACTTAAGGGTAGAATCCAGCTAGTGGTAAAGAACACGTCGCTGGTGTCGGATTTGAATAATCCCACTTCATGTGACAAAAGGTTGTTGGAGACACAAATATTCAGACAAGCCTCGTACCTTTGAAATCAATGATACTACAGCCACTTTTTGCTATAGCCTCTAGAGTTCCATTGCGTTAAGGTAGTTTAACTTAATAGGCCTATGTAGGAGTAGGCCTACACCCGATGATTAAACAGAAAGATTGCCAAACACCAAAAACCCTTAAAACCCTAGATATTTCTGCTCCTAAAAACTTCAATCCGAGTTTTCAAACAATGAGTAAGGTGCCCTAATTAAAATTTCAAATTTTAGACTTTTACTAGGCCTATATCTGAGGGACGCGTTGCAGAAAGTCAACAGTGCCGGAAGGTTGAATAATTTATAATTGTGCCGATAGGTAAAAAACTACAATGTTTGCAGTGTCTGTAGATCAAAAATCCCAGTAAATCAAATACACTGCAAACATTGTAGTTTTTGACCTATCTGCACAAGTATAAATTATTTGACCTTCCAGCACTGTTGACTTCCAGCAACATTCCCTATCTGAGCTGCTGAGCATGCAAGTTAATAGAGTGCCTATTATTTTGCAATTTGAGAAATACTGGAACTAAGTCATCAATATTAAGGTAACGGTACCAATAATGTAGGTATTAACATGAAGTTAAAAGTGTATTGCGCTATTTGCCTCAAGGTCCAGCTCCATGTCACCGTGTGTTATGCTTGTTTTCTACAGTTTACTTAAAATCAGCAACTTGAATACAAATCTTTTAGAAGCAAAATGCTCTTAGAGAACAGTTAGACTGTATTTTGCCGCCGAAATGAAGTTTATGTAGCTGCTGCTAGGCCTAGCCTTTTGCTCTCTCCCTTCACTCTCTACGCCGATTCTCTGTCCCACTCACACTGTGGGTCCCATTGACTCTGCTCTGCGTCAGTGAATGCAGTGCCTTTGCTACAGTACCTAGTAAGTGGTCACTTCGGGAATTAGCCAAAATTAAAAAATCCCAGATTAAATTTGTAACATGGGCATTTAGCTTCATGCAAGTTTTGCATTCATTGAAATCAGTCGTGTAAAGCATAACTCATGAGAGAAGAGACTTAAGTAGGCCTACCTTTTAGTTTTTGTTCCTCGAGCAACTGGGTCTTTATGAGTTCAAGAGTTAACTGAATAACCTCCTCAAGATCTGTTTTTAGTTTGTGAAGTTCTTCATTATCTGGGTCAGTTGTTAAAGCTGCTTCCACCTAAAAGGAGAAATGTACAACATTACATTAATCTTACCTAGAATAAAAATCTATAGGTAGGTACCTAACTTAATGGAATATTTTCTACATTTGGTTAAATTTAGATGAGTTAAATATAAGTGTTGAATTCGGATATGGTCTAGTTTTGTTACAAAGATAAGATATAGACAAGGCTTCGCTGTAACAAGAGTAGGCAATGCAGAATATTTATGGTTTCGGTTGGTTTGGAATACTTTAGCTTCGCTGAAGTCAAAATGCAAATCTCACTTAATCTGTTAGGCCTACAATCAATTTTGGCTTGGGTTGGGTGAATTCTTCTTTATTTAGGCAACTGTAAGTTAGTTAAGTTCCTACTACCGTAATCTGTTTATCCTTATTTGTTATGGAGGAGATAACTTTTTGACTTTGACTAACTTAACCAGTTGCTCTGGGGAATTGTTGCTTTTTTGAGAGTTCAGTAAGTTTAAAGTAATTTTAATTTTCTATAATTCCGCAAATAAGACAGCCTCTAGGTAACTAACTTCGGTTGAATTTCTTTAAGTTAGCTTAATTCTACTCTATTGTTTGGTAGCCTACTAAATAATATTCAGGAAATTCCCATATCACATCAGTTTACAGTATTTGTTCTTCCACCTCACTCAAGGTAACTTAGCCTAACTTGGGAATTATTTTAAATAAACTTATTTCGGTACCGGTAAATTAGTTCAAACCTCAAATTTACAAAAGAACTTGGTTGTGTTTGCACTTGATCAAAGTTTTCAATGAAAAATTAGTGCAGGCTAGCCTTTAAATTGTCAAGCTCTTTTTTCAAGTTTTGAACAGTACCGGGAGCCTACTTTTCTTAGCCTAATAAATGTTCTTGTGAAAGGAACAGAATGAATTTCTGGTCCCTTGATGTTCAAACCATCCAAGTTCCACTGTATTAAAGAGGAGATACATTTTAGGAAAAAGTTTGGCTGCACTTTATTGTAGGTACTTAGTTTGTAGTTAGTCAAAACTTAAGTGTATTCATTCGAATTAATATATACGCAGAGGATACGCGTCCGGTAACAGGACGTGGATTAGGCGTCCAGCAGTTACTGTCATAACCTAACCTAACCAACCAAACTTGCTGATAATGAAAATAATCAAATGAAGGTTCAATTCTCTTCATAAAATAAAATTATAAATGCCAAAAATTCTAACAAAAGATGTACAGTTAAGAAGAAATTACATTCAAAGCAAAATCTGTGACAAAAAGTTAAAGAAACCGATGGGTTTCAAACCAGGGACCTCTTGGATATCAGCCGAGCACTTTATCCCCTACACCACGAACAACGCTGGCCGAACATCGTATCGTTGTGGTAATGGCGTTCCGGGACCCCACAACCCGGTGACGTCACTACCGGACGCCTAAGCCACGTCTGGTTATCGGACGCGTATCCTCTGTGATTAATATAACTTATCGATTATTCTATATCGAATCTATATATCGATTAGGCCTAGTCACTATTTTGATTACGGAATTGTATATTTCGATTATTCTGTTGTTTTTATTGTAACTTAAGTTAACTTAAATGTTTACATTTTTGTTTATTTTATTGTTTTTGTTTGTATTAGTTATTTTCAACTAACTGTAAAATGAATTAGGCTATCTTGAATTTAGGCAAAAATGTTTTATCAAACACAGACAACTGCATTAAATTGATGCAGGAACTAAGTAGGTTTAGCCTAGTTCCAAAATCTTTATAATCCAATAACTTAAATTGTTAAAATAGTTTGAATTATTAAATACCGTAGGCCAATCCTTTTATTTATAATTTGTAGGCCTAAGTTATCTATTTACTAATTTAAGATAAAATAACTTAACTTGAATAAACTACAGCTAGGCCTAATATAAGTAGGCCTATCATCTAAAATGATATTTTTAATGGAATGAAAATAATTGAGATTAGGCCTATCGATTATAATCGAATAATTGATATAGGATCGATCGATATATTCATTCGAATGAGTGTAGATTGACCTAATCTTAAGTGCAGCCACAAGTTTCATGTTTGACTCCTTAAGTTATTAATGGTAACAACTGATAACTTTAGGCCGAGTGTCAAAAACAATAGGCCTAACTTAAGTAACCCTAATTGAGTTGGATAACTTAGGCTAAACTTATTGAAGTTTTGCCAAATTTTAAAAATATATTTTCATTAGGCCTAGATAGGCCTAAGCCAATATAATGACGCATTTGCCAGTTTTTGTAGCCAATAGGGTAAATCTTGTAAAAAGTTAAAACTGTAGGCTAAGTTCTATAAGTTGCTCAAAAATGGGGGTCTAGTTTATAAACCAGGTAGGCCTAGTACTACATGTCGGCCTACCCTTGTATGATTCTATGATTTGAATCAATTACAGCCTTTTACCTGCTGTAGTTGAAGTTTGTAGTTTTGCAAATCCTCTTCAGCCATACCAACCAAGAACTGAAGTTAAAGAACTAAAACAACAAGTAAGGCAAAGTTTTAGTGTCAACAAACATAAAAAAACATCATAGATACTGAGGAGTAGGCGAATTGACCTTATTTAATTTTATAAACATAAATACATCATCTAATTATTATTATTGTTATACTTAATTCTAAAATAAATATTCTCACAAAACACAGCCCACTGCTAAGGGTGGAAGTGGAAGGTGGAACCAAAGTTGTGTAGTGTAGTTAGTTGAGTCGTTGTAGTGAATGTAGTTAACAATAAATAAATATTAGACTAATAAATATTAGACTGTGATGTAGTGTTGGTTGAGTGCAGTGAGTGAGTTGAGTGTTGTGCGTGCACTCGCACTGTTGCCACTGTTCTGTTGTGTTTTGTTTTGTGTTGTTGACATGACATGAGCGAAGCCGGAGCGACTCAGCGAGCGAGAGTCGACTGAGTCGAAGTCGAGACGCGACTGGACTGATGCGAGCGAGATTAGGTACGTTTTGCTTGGAGCGACAGGTGCGACCCGCGCAGCGACTGTCGCCGAGCGGCTGTGACAGCCGGGCTGTCGCGGGTCACTGCTGATCTTAGGGGTTTTGCATAGTCCTGTTTTGCTTGGAGCTACTGTCGCTAGAGCCGCGAGCTGCGGTCACTGGGTACTGCTCCAAGACCAGTCAGGAGCGACAGCCGCTTAGCGACAGTTACATTTCTGATTGTTTTTATAGTGTACAACATTTTGACAAGTTCGATGACCTTTTATTTTCGATATATGGCGTCGTACAACGTCTGGGATTAAGTTAAATTTTAGTAGTGAGGAAGACGATAGTTTATTAGAAGAAGTGGCAAAAAGACAACGTCAGGTTGTCCTAAACTAACCTGACGTTGTCCTTTATTCTTTGGTCTTTGTGGGAGATATGTTTCAAATCATAAAGCGCGGGGTGTTTTTCCACTTCTTCTAATAAACTGTCTTCTTCCTCACTACTAAAATTTAACTTAATCCCAGACGTTGCATATAGCGAAAATAAAAGGTCATCGAACTTGTCAAAATGTTGTACGTACACTATAAAAACAATCAGAAATGTAACTTTCGCTAAGCGACTGTCGCTCCTAACTGGTCTTGGAGCAGTACCCAGCGACTGCAGCTCGCAGCTCTAGCAACAGTAGCTCCAAGCAAAACAGGACTATGCAAAACCCCTATGATCAGTCGATCAGTGGCCCGCGACAGCCGCTCGGCGACAGTCGCTGCGCGACCGTCGCACCTTTCGCTCCAAGCAAAACGTACCTTTTACTCTACTCAGTCTTCATCATACATAATACAGCAGTAAATTCAAAAAATAAAAATATCACATGAGTCACAATGACCTGTGTGAGTCCTTAACTGATCACCTACTTGTTAGCGAATTTCCCATGAAAATAAGCTATTACCGTAGTACTCATGGTAAGACCTGGACCCGGGACCATTTTTTTTCGTTTTGAAGTCCCTAGAGGCCAAAAACACCATGTGTCCGTTAGTGCGATAACTCTAACAAAAATGATCCGATTTTGATGAACGTGCAACGCCAACACTGGACAACTAAAAAATGTGTCCATGTCCGTTTTTTGTCATTTGCGTGCAACGTTAAACTTGGACACATTTGAATGTGTCCAGGTTCATCGTTGTCTGCTTTTATCGTTGATTTAGGTGGTGTCATGTCTGTTTTTTATCGGTGGTGTCTGTTTTTTATCGTTTTCCGCGTTGAACCATGTTAAACGTTGTCCAACTTCGTCATCAATCGTCCCATTCAATATACATCACCACACTCAACACTCAATTGATGACACATACATCATTGACACTTCTCAAACACACGTAAAAAAATCAGGTTTTACCATTGGATTTGGATTGGCCGAGCAGTACTACTAAGTCATTGAAATACAGTAATTTAAATTTTTTTATCAGAAGTATATACATTAGCATTTAATTTCGATTCTGATGATTTTATCTAGCTTCTATAATCAATACTCATTCCAAGTAAACATGCAGTTGCTGCTTTGTATTACCAGGTATTACTGTATAAATCTGACGTAATAAATGCAAACAAGTGAACAGAAAAGAAAACTAACCTTCAATATCGTTTCGTTTGTCGGTCTCCGTAGTTTCATACGATACGATTACGTATGATAGGCTTGTTTTTGGAGGTTTTCGGTTTGTTGTGCTTGTGGAAGTGATGAGTTTGATTATCTACGGATTTTTATGGACCTTGAGAGTTGGAAGCTCTGTTTTTTCTTTTTCAAATGAGATCTCCAGAAAGAAGTGAATTATTGAAAGACAACAATAAATGTAAGATCGTAAAAACAGATCGAGTCTACGTAGATGAGTATGTTTTATCTATGGTAGATGTATTGTATTTTTGGTAAGTAGCCTAGTGGTGGTTTATAATAATTGTAATGGTTTGGTAGGCCTAGCTTCGACACAACCAATTAAGTTACGCTTCCCCTAAATTATTTGCCCAAACGATAATTTGGATTTGACAAATGAAAAATGTTTACTTAGCAGGTACTTAATTCTTTAACTTATTGTTAGGCCTAGGCCGTAAGTTACTATTTAAATAAATACATCTTCATAATTAGCCAGTTTTAACTTTTATTGCTTAGCCTATAATTGAACTTGGACACTTAACTTACCATGTAGCTTTTTTCAAAAGCTTGTTTGCAGTACAAGAGTACAGAATAAAAATATTAGGGTAGGCCTACAGTTTCTTAACTGGGCTAAGTTATGCTAATATCAATTCGATTTGTAAACCTTCATTTGATTTTTTCATTGTGTTGTGCACATTCGGAGTTTAAACATTTTTGTAATAAGTTAAGCCTAGCCCTAGCCTATGTAAGTAGAAACTTGTCGATTTACTTTCACTTAAGTAGTGTTAAGTTAGCATAGTCCTTCTTGCCTAGCTAACTTAATTATTCTGAATTCACTAAAATATTATAAGTTAAGTTATGGTGCCAAGGAAGCTTGGTTAGCACAAAATACAAAGTTCCCCAAGTTATGTTGTGTAAATAGACAGCCTAACATTTAGGGCTTTTTTCTTGTGTCTGCGTGAGTAGCTTTTTAGCGAATCTCCCTTTAGGGGATTCTTCTTATCGTAAGTGGCACGGTAAGTTAAGACCTAGGCCCGGGACCGATTTACTTTTTCGGAAAATCTGAACTTTCTGGACTTTTCTTTAACCCTCCGTGGGTCACGTGTCTGAAAATAGACGCACAACACACTTTGTGTAGTGTCACGCGTCTATTTTTAGACGCACGAACATCGTTTACGGCGAAGGCTCTATGACTGACTGAATCGGATTGAACTGGATCGAGTTAGGTACCTATCGTTCTTTTCATTAGATTCTAAGCTTTCTAAAGGTCTTTCTCTAAGCGCTGTTTGTTCTCTGAGCCGATCGTAATTGTAGCAGACAGCTGACGTGCATATTAGTAAACAGGTTAGTTAACCTCTGACCGATGACTGATGTGTTTTATTATGTTTATCATTGTTTTAGTGTTAAAAATCAAAAGTAGTGATATACGTGGTGCATTATAAGAAGATTTAAGTGGTTTTGAAGTGCTGGTTGATGATCCTGAAGAAGTAGGTAGTGATATTGATGTAAATTATCAGCCAGATTCCTAGCTATGGTTAGGCTATGCATTCTTAGCTAAACGCTATGTACTGAAATCCGTTTTTCGCTCATAACTTATTTATTTGATAACTTACCTCGCTATATGATTATATATTTGTAATCCTCATTAAATTTAGAACAAAGTGGCTATTTTCAAATATTTATAGGCCTATAATTTATACAATTTCATTGAGCGCGAACTTATTTTTTTTTGAAAATTTTCGAAATTATATTTTTTTTTACCTAAAAATTTTTTTTTTTAAATGTTCCTTATGTTTTATATATAATATTGAAGCCCATGATTTTCCAAACAAAATGGTATATAGAACATTAGAATTAACATTGTTTTAAGCTTCTCAGATCCGTTTTAATAAAACCTTGCAAATGCGCCAAAAATAGGTGGACATTAAGGCCTAAACTATGGACCTTTGGAGGGTTAAAACATTTTAAAATCATTCCTACAATCTTAAAAAACAAGGAAATAGCCTAAATTTTACCTTTAAACAAAGGTATCTTTTTAAGGCGCCGAAACCAGTGCAAATTACAAAAATATACAGAACTATTTGCTAAATGCGCGGAGCACATCGCTTGCCGAGGAACGAGGAGTGGAGTGATACAGACTGGTGACTAGGCCTACTTACTCTTGGACTCCTAGAATGGTTTGCGTTACCATTGATTAAATATTGATTGTTAATTTTACGGTGATTTTGAATCACATTAAAATAAAATGAAACTATTCTAAACTAACCTAACCAAACGTGCTGTATGGTTACATAAATTGGGTTTACAGCAGAAAAGGCATGTGTGGAAGGCCTGTGGTTTATGAGAATTTGTGGCTCCATTAAGTGTTTTGAAGTCCCTTCTGTCCTTGAAGTCCCCTTGAATCCCTTCTGTCATAGATGAAGGGACCAAAACCATCAGATTTGTGGTGTTCTCCTCACAGACCAAGAAGTACCGGTAGGTAAGGTTAGATTAGGAAGGTAAAGTGTAGGTTATAGGTAATCGGGTTCATTATTTGTGTTACACCATACCGGTATTGTTTTTTATCTTTTGTAGGCCTAATAGTTGGTTAAACGGGGAAACGGTTTCAAAAATGCAAGCAATTTGCAGTGGTTTCCGCGCCTTAAAAAATGTTTTAAAGGTACCTATTTTCTTGTTTTAAGATCTTAGGAATAATTTAAAAACGTTTGAAAGAAAAGTCCAGAAAGTTCAGATTTAGATGCAAGCATTTTTGAAATTGTTTTTCCGTTTAACCAACTATTCCAAAAGATAAAAAACAATATGGTGTTACAAAAATAAACAACCCGATTACCTAAACTTTACCTTCCTAATCTACCCTTACTCCAAAACACTTAATGGAGCCACAAAATACTCATAAACCCCGACCTACCTTCCCCACATGCCTAAATTAGATCATTGTTCAATCTGCATTTTATTAATGTAATAAATTACTGTACCGTCGATATAATTCAACATTCATTATAACCTGTGAGGTATTATCGGAATAAATATCGATTTCGATGCGGTTCGATATATCGCTTATTAAATCCTTATTTCTAATCAGCTGGCAACACAAATAGGTGCCCAAGAGGGCCAAGAGTAAATAGTCACCGGTCCGTATCTTTCCGCTCCTTGTTTCTTGAAGTGCGATATGCTCCGCGCATTGAGTAAGTAGTTCTGTGTGTTTTTGTAATTTGCAGTGAATTCCACGCCTTAAAAATGTTTGTAAAGGTATTTTCTTGTTTATTAAGATTGTAGGAATGGTTTAAACACGTTTAAAAGAAAAGTCTAGAAAGTTCAGAAATACCATCACTTTTTCATTTTGATGGCCCCAGACACCATTTGTTCAAATTTTTGTATCATGTATTGGGCCTAAACCTCCAAGATTTATATATAGGCTACGTCTGTGAACGTGATAACTTGAGTAATTTTTGTCTGATTTTGATGAGATTTGGCTTAGGCTACCGGTAGAGGTGTAAGGAGGGATTTAACTTAAACTTGAATGAGTTCACGAACCAACATGATCGGACTATGGGAACGGTGTTTTACGGGGGGTTTTGAACGTGATAACTTGAGTAATTTTTGTCTGATTTTGATGAGATTTGGCTTAGGCTACCGGTAGAGGTGTAAGGAGGGATTTAACTTAAACTTGAATGAGTTCACGAACCAACATGATCGGACTATGGGAACGGTGTTTTACGGGGGGTTTTATGGGGTAAAAAAATGGTTTTTCTCATTATTTACCCTCAAAAAACAAGATTTCTCAATTTCTCTCAAACAATTTTAAACAAAGAGCTTAAAAAAACAAATAATTTAGTATATCAAAGTGTTTTTGTACGGTTAGCCTATTAGTAACGGAGAAAATTGAAAAGTTGTAAATTTAAAATTCCGATGTTATTCTTATGGAGAATATTGTAACATTTTGTAGTTTCATTTTTTATGGATATATTTTGATTAAACCTGGGAAGTTAATTTTGTTTATACTAATTTCTGTAGCAGTCTTTCATGTGAAATACTAGGTCTATCAAATGCTTTAGAAAGTCCATGAAAATACCAGCAACACTTTCTTTTTTGTCTATTGATTCTATAATTGATATAGGCCCTAGTGAAATTGATCAGATCTGTGGTGACAGATTTATCTTTGAAAAAACCATGTTGTTTGTCATCTAAAAGACTATTTTGTTTTAAAAATAGCATGAGTCTTCCATGCATGGCTTTTTCGAAAACTTTTGAGATTGAAGACAGAATAGAAACTGGACGATAATTTTCAACATTAAGTTCCTCCCCTTTTTTGTAGGCCTAGATTGGTAGGATTATAAAAACATGATTATAAAAATCTTAAAAATTTTAGAAATCAATTTGTCCGGGAAGATGCCAGAAATGAAGGATGAATTTATCAGGTGCTTTATCAATGCAATTTTGGACAATTTTGTAACTGTTGTTGGTATTTCATCATATGATCCGTAAGAGTTTTTATTTTTCAAAGAATCAATTACTTTAGCCAATTCGTCTTCATTAAGTGGATTGCAACGGAACACTTTTTGTGGATTTAATGAGTTATTTGTCAAAGTCACGGGCTGTGCTGGAGGCAATTCCTCAAGTAAATTTTCAGTTGCATTCACATAATAGTCATTAAAAATGTAACTAACATGCATTGGATTGTTAGGACTAACAGGCATACTAACAAACCTTGCTTTTAGGACTAACAGGGATGTTAGGACAACTAATTTTTAAATAAAAAAAAATATTTTAATTGACATTCACTGAGCTATTTACCTCATTGGTGTGTACACTTCCCCGTAGTTGGCATCCACCAGAAATTGATTGAGACGGTTAATTTTATCCTCAGAAAGAATTCAACATTTTAAAATTTCCTACACGTTTTTTGTTTTATTTTTGTATTATTCATACCCTACTAAGGTCAGTGCTGAGACTAAAGGTAGTCCATACACCTGCATGGTCAGGTAGTATATAGGCCTAGTAACTGTTCTAGCAACCTTACCTCCACCTGGTCAGACATGACGTAAGAGGCTATACAAGAATAAGGCATGCGTTGAACCTGGTTAATTCTTCATGAACAAAATAAAAATTAAAAGATCTCAAGATACAACTTAATTCTAAGGGATTTGAGAATATCAACATTCAGGTCACCTGCAAAAATAGACATCAAGAGAAAGCTTAGAATCTGCTGAAAACAACGATACCGATCTGATTAAGTCAGTCCCAGAGCCTTCGCCGTAAACGATGTTTGTGGGTCGCAAAAGCGACGCATAACACCACGGCAGGTGTGTTGTGCGTTGATTACGCGACGCATAACACTCGGAGGGTTAAGACCTCGATTTAAAAAGGTTTTAGGCTATCCCTTCCATATATCTTAAATTGTTGGTCTCTGTGGGTATTATATTGTTTTTTTTTCTGTTTGTAAAGACAAAATTGAAATAAAATTAAATTACCATTTACAAAATACAAACTGTAAGCCAAATTTCAATGACGCAACTAGTTGGTTAAAAGTTTCGTAGTGGACTGTACGTCTCCAAAGTCGAGGAAGTGTGGTGGGGGAGGTTTACTGACTTGTTTCACCACCTTAACTAACCTTCTGATTTGATTCACACTGAAAAGTAAAAGGTTAGCTGTTCATTAAAAGTAGATTATCGATAAATTATTGATTTATAGTTTCAGCTTGGCTGCTTCATTTAAGATAGTAAGCCTACTGGTTTCAGTAGGATAAATCAATCTCAAAATTTTGAAAATATTGCACCAATAGTAATAAATTTGAAATATTGTAAATTTGATTTTTAAAATGTTTCTGTTTCTATTCCTATTTATGATTCAGGGTTAGTATTCATGTTTATAACATTATTTCAATAATTAAAAACAAAGTTTAGGTAACTTTCTCTCTATTTTGTAAGAACGATCCAATCTTGCACGGCATCTGTAACTACTCTACTACTTCAATGGAAAATGCATCAAAATTTAAAAATGAAATTATAAAGAGTTTAAATTAATACTAAACCTAAGTTAAAAATTAATTAATTGCAATGTCGATACAATGTATATTGTCAAGACAATGAAGTATTTATTTATTTACTGTAAAATATTAACTATACATTGATTTTAAAAAGAAGTACCATTGCTAAGGATTTTTAGTTAAAATATTCATTACATTGACTTGGTCATAAAATAACAATGGTGAAACAAGGTATAATTTTACCGTTAATCCTACTTATAGTATGGTATAAACCAGTGCTTGTATAGGTTATGCCTATTTATTTATTAGGTATATTTAATGAATAACTTCTTGATCAGCATCCTACGTGGTTTTAAATTAACTGAAAAAAACCAAACAAATTATACGACTAATAACACTAGTAATAATATATTTACACTTATACTGTTGAACCACAAGACAGTAAATACATTTTATGAAAGAAGTAAGTGGTGATCAATTTTGATTGGACACTCCAATCATCATCAGACCCAATAGGCGAAAAACCTATTGGGTATCTATTTCGCCTATTGGGTTAAAGTTATTGGGTTTCGCCTATTTTGATCTTTAATGTAAAACTTTTTATTTTAGCATTTTACTTCCTGAATACCCTTGCTTTGTTATAAAAAAAACTAAATTAAATTTTGTTTCAGATTGCAGGCAACAATCAACCTCTCCAGACCAGAGAAAATGATTCCCATCCACTGCCCACTGTGCTGTGATCAGCCGTTCGACGACCAAGATGCTTTGTTCCACCATTTGCGAAGTTTACGGAACAACCTCTTTTGCCCAATCTGTTCTGAGAGGTTTAGTTCCCTAGACTTGCTCATTAAACATCTGTCTCGGAAATGTGATGGTCCCCTCTCACCTCGCGAGGCCAAACGGAAGTGTCTGTACAATCAGAGCAAATTACTTGAAATGGTAAGATTTTATAACTGTCATTTTAGATATCTGATTCATAGTTTACTCTGTAACCTTAGTGTTTATGTCTGATTTTGTTATTTTTTCCTGTCCATTATTATTACAAATACAATAGCCTATATAAACTAACTAGTGATGGGTTGGTCGGTACCACAATTTCAATGTCGGTTCCGGTACGGGTTCGTAAACAAAATCGGTTCTCACTTCCGGTACCATCGGTACCTCATTTTAAATTATACTACCTGTACTTGTTTTATTTTAAAAACAAAATATCCCTATTTCAATTTTTTTTAACTGATTATTTTTCATTATTGTAGGTTGGTTATATTATGGGATTAAGAAAATAAAACTTAGGCCTATTTGTATAAACAACACTTTGACAACCAAACACATTCAAATTAAAACAATATATACCATAGCCTACCAGAAGTGTTAAATATAGGCCTATTTGTTGAAATGATTCACTGTTAAACAAATAAATTTAACATAGGTCACTAACCTTGGAAAGAAAAGGGGCTCTGGAAATGTGTTAACTAAGTTAACTGCCTGTTAAGTTCTAGCTAAATATTTAGAAGGAAGTAATCTTGAGTTATTTTGTACCTATAGTCTGCATTAAGTTAATTTTAGATTCCATTATTAAGGAAAATTTAGAACAAAAGTATTTATGGAAAGGACGTTTTGAACAAAACTTTTTAGAAAATATGCCTATTCATCTGAGGTTACAGTTTGAGGTGCAGGCTTGTAGAAAAAAAGATTTAACAAAGGCTTAGCTCTGTGGTGCATAGTTTAGATCTTAGTGAACATTTAACAGTTTATTTCAACTCAAAACACATTAATTATGCTAGGAGGTTCATTTTTTGTAGGACCATGTTTACGGCTTAAACAGCCGGCGGGTGGAACCCCCCTACAGTAGACTCCCTCTTATCCGGACACCTTTTAACCAGACATCGGTTCAACCGGACTACACTCCACGGTAATTACATCTCTTTAACCGGACAATTTTTATCAGGGCCATTGGTTTAACCGGACTAAATCGGCAGGAAGTGGGTGGTACTGAAACGACTGTTCTCGTGGGAAAGATTTGAGACCACCAGTGATTACATGGCTAAATACTATGCTCTCCTAAATTTAAGTCGAATAACACCGTAAACGGTCTGTTTTAACGAGTTTTTGGGGACGTTGGCTTAACCGGAAAACCCGTTATCCGGACTGGCCTTGGTCCCAAGGAGTCCGGATAAGAGGGAGTCTACTGTACTGGAATATTTGCTGAAGGATATGAGAAACTATAAAATATTAACATCGTATTCATCCCTTGAACTTCTATGACTTGGTTAGTGGTAGATTTCAACAGGCCTTGAAATGTGTGCATACACTCCCACCTCAGCTACAGTACTATTTTATAGGGAGGAAGTAATTATAGAAAAAAAACTTTGTATTGCAAAAAGAGCCCTAAAATTTGCGTACAATTTTAGTCTTAATTAGTGAATTTTGATCTAGTTTCGACAGAAAAGGTAAGCCTACGGCCGGGCGCACACCTGATGCGGCACGGCACGGCACGGCGCGACGTTTTGCCTTAAGGCGCCTTATGCGACTAGATTTCTATTATTTCAAATGGGGGTGCCGCACACATCATTGAGCACGGCAAGGCAAGGCAAAACAGCGCCGTACGGCGCTTTGTTCTGCCTTTTCAATTTTCGTCTTTCGGGCAAAAGGCTTGAGGCAAAACGATGTGCGCATGCGCGAGGATCGACACCACGTTCAGCGCAGTGACAGCCCCTGTCAAAATCAGTGTGCACTTCCAACGATTAGTAATTATGATTTTTTTCCGGATCTGCTCTTAGTTATGCAATGAATGGTTTCAAGTTCCTTTTTTGGTTGATGGGATACACCCACGATTCTCTGTTAGGGAGATCATCCATTACATTCATTAGGTACCATCATTGACTATATAAACACAACAGTCAATGGTACCATATAGCAGCGATGGCAGCAGCCTCTTCTTCGCCTTCTGCATCCATCCTCACAAAATGTGCATTACAAAGTGTCACAAAGTGTACAAACAACCTCATAACACACAGTATCTCACTTTACTGAAACCATGGGTTCGACCATGTGGGTGCTCAAGTTGCCTTGCCGTGCCGTGCCGTATGCATCTCAAATCTCCATCGGGCACGGCAAGGCGAGGCAAAGACGTCTCGCCTCGCCTTGCCGTGCCGTGCTGTATCAGGTGTGCGGCCGGCCTACTGTTAAACTTAACCACCACAAATTCCATTAAAATACAATATTGTGTTGCATACAGGGGGAGGGTTTGGAAATGTGTATAAAATCGATTTCATACTTTGACCATTGTCGCTTTAGCTTTGATTCTGTAGTTTATTTCTTTACTATAATCATGTACTCTCTTTGTTACAGTTGCCAGGCATCCCTCCAACTCCCCCAAGCAGCCTCGAACCAGCCAATTCTTCAGGTGCTTTTCTTAAATAGTTATAATACAGTAATAACTTTCAATGGTGTTGCTGCTTTAGCCTATTCAAAGCAGATTATGACTGTCCAGTTGGTAACCCAGAGTTTGTGGGTTTGTTGATATCACCCAACTTTTTAGGATTCTCTACGGAGAAAATTTGTTTAATTAGAGGGAAGTCTCAAATAAAATAAATAAAATGACCCAAACTTAAATTACTTAACACAGGCTATCAGTAAGGCAACAGTTTTCTTCAATTTTCAATGCTCGAAAAACTTTGTTGTAACAAGTTAACTCGAATTGAAGCAGATGGTTTAGCATTCATTAGAAGTTATCAATTAAAACTGAGAGCAGAAATAATGAAGGTGAACCTTTTACGACGCAAATAGATATATTTAAAATTAGTTTCTAACAAGTTTTTTAACAACTCTAAGATGTACTTGAATTAGATTACTTGAATTTAAGAATAACGTTTTCAAAGGAGCTATGTTTCACACTATGTGGCTCATTGAGCCGCACGGGTTCTCTAGTAAAATATAATATAGGTAAATATAGGTATAGGCATATAGGTAAAGTAATACATCTTGGTATATGAATAATAACCATAAATGTCTACTCATTCAAGCTATTATTACATTTTTACGTATTAAGGGGGATGCCCCACAAGAAGTATGACGAAATTCTCAAATAGCAGCCTAGGTCAAGTTTCCTAAACTAAAGGTATTATTTAGTAAATCACAATTCCGCAAACCCGAACTCAAGCGGACAACCAAATCGAAAATGGCAGCAGTTCAAATAATTTTTTTTATCTGCCACTTTTTACCCAGCTGTTATTTTGAGATCAAATTTGCGGCATTGTATTCTAAAATAAATAAAATAAATAAAATAAAAATGCCTTTATTTATTAAGCGTTTCTCAGTACAAATACTGCTTCTCAGAACAACTTTCGTCAAAAACAATATAAAACTAACAACAAATAAATAGAGCAATAACAAAACAGAAACAAGACAATATGAGTAACAATAATTAACCATCAGTGCACAATTCTTTGATCTTAACTCTAAATGATGATAAAGAATACTTTTTGAGGCCAGAGGGGAGGTCGTTGTACAGTTTTGGACCGAAGTACGAGAAGCTTCGTCTCCCAAACTCAAGCCTCACTCTTGGAAAGTGAAGCTGGAGACCACCATGGCGGGTACTGCGCTGAGAGACCTCCTCCCGGAAAGAGAGCCTCTCAAGAAGGTACTGTGGCTCCTGTAAGACAAGAGCCTTGTGCACCATGCAGCACGTCATGATCCTGCAAACAGTGTCTACTGTTGTCATCCCCGCTACAGCTCTATAGGGAGAGACATGTTCAAATTTTTTGAGGCAAAATATGAAGCGAATAGCTGAATTTTGCAGTTTCTGCATTCGGGTCATGTCTACTCCAGAGATGCTGTTTCCATAAGCAGGGAGACAATATGTAAACACCGACAGGACTAGTGACTGCATGAGGCGCAGCTTCGCAGATTCTGGCAGCAGACTTCTAAACCTGTACAGCCCTCTCAGCCTTCCTAACGCGCGCTGCGAAGCATGTGTGACATGGTCAGAGAAGGTGAGGCTGCTATCAAGCACAACGCCAAGAGTCTTTGACTTGTCACACAAAGTCAAAGATTCCCCGTTGAGCACAACACTCACTCCTCTCTCGCTGAGGGACTGCACCAAGTCTTGTGGCGCCGTATGCATCACAGTACACTTGCCAGTATTGAGTTTCAACCCATTTGCTTCTGACCACAAAAGGATTTTTCCCAGATCAGAGTTAATGAGATCGAGTGAAGCTCTAATCTGGGATGGCTCATAAGACAAGTGCAGCTGTGAGTCATCGGCATACAAATGAACTGTACAATGTTGCACACAGCTAGGAAGGTCTGCCGTGTACAAATTGAACAGAACAGGCCCAAGACAGCTGCCTTGGGGAATTCCTTGGGTTTTGACAAGCGGGGTTGATGTCTCACTCTCTAACTGCGTCACTTGCAGCCTGGAGTCTAAGTATGACCTTATCCATTTCAAAATATTTTCGTCAAAGCCATAATATTTCATTTTGGCCAATAGCATCTCATGGTTCATTGAATCAAATGCTTTTGAATAGTCCAGCATAACTAGAGAACTATATTTACCCTTGTCTTTGGCGTCAATCATATCACTAAATAAGTTCGTCAGGGCTGTACACGTGCTATGGTTAGGTCTAAATCCAGACTGAAGTTTGGGTAATATATTTTGTGTGTTTATGTAGCTGACTATTTGGCGAATAGCTATCTTCTCTAATATCTTTGACATAGCTGGTAATATTGAGATTGGCCTTAGGTCTTCGACTTTTCTTGGGGCTGTAAGTTTGGGTAATGGTCGGATAATACTAATTTTCCAGGACTTAGGAAATTGTCCCTTGTCTAGTGATAGATTTATCAGATCATTCAAGCTATTATTACATTTTTACGTATTAAGGGGGATGCCCCACAAGAAGTATGACGAAATTCTCAAATAGCAGCCTAGGTCAAGTTTCCTAAACTAAAGGTATTATTTAGTAAATCACAATTCCGCAAACCCGAACTCAAGCGGACAACCAAATCGAAAATGTAATAAACCTTTCTACTAATAAAGACATCTATATGAAGTGCATATCGACCTATGCCTTCGTTTATGATTTTCTTTTGACTTCTAGCGGGTGCCCCACAGTGGCCACAGTATTGCAAATTCAGGGAATCTTTGAACAGCTGTCATTTTTGACTCCATTGTCCGTTTGAGTTCAGGTTTGTGGCATTGTGTTTTACTAATGACGATCTTTAATTTGATATCAAACTCGACCTATGCTGCTATTTAAGAATTTCGTATGACTCCTTGAGGGCCGTTCCCCTTAAGGGGAAAAAATTAATAATAGCTTAAAATAGTAGACATTTATAGCTATAATTGAGTTACCAAGTTTCATTCCTTTATCTATAGGTAACAGTATAAAATATATTACCCCGTTCCAAGACTTCAATCACACTGTATATAGCTAAGCCGACCAAATACTCGCACCATGGCGGACTATTTGCGGGTTTCATTTTGACAGGATGTGGTCAAAAGAGGTTTCATTGTAATGTATTTAATATCTGTTATTTAAAACTCTTTGATTTGCAGGATATTTTTGGTACACAAGCACTCTGTCATAATCTAGCTCAAAAATCTGACATGACTCATAAACTTATAAGGAAAACACATTAACTACAGTAATGTTTAATTAATTAGTTATCTAATATTAGCGATATCACTGACTATTGGATACTGAAGAAGACTTCCCATCCATATGGACCAGGTGTAGCCATTTTTTTATTAAAAAAGAACATGTAGTTGTGTGAACCAGTAACAGAATGAGCTAGTGTCTAAAATTGTATTTTATACTTTATTTATGGTTGCTGACTAGGTTGATGGGTCATAACAGTCAAGGTGTATAAAAGAAGGAGCTACAAAAAAGGTATTATATTAAAAACTATTTGGTCACCCAAAAATATTGCCTGTTAGGCAGTTACAGCATTTACTGAGCGCTTTACTGTTTTTCGATTAAAATGTACTCACTATCAAAATGTTATATACTACCACCATTGAATATCCTGTATAACACTATGACTATATTCAATATTGAATACAACACAAATTTAACATGGGGATGGAATGTCTAAGGTGATATTCAAGTATCTGTGACACCTGTTTTTGAAATAATAAAATGTGCTGCTTACAAGGTGTTTTTGTTGTCAAACAAGATTATTAAAGAATTATCCACAAAATTAAACTTGTTGGGCACAAAAACGCTAGTGACACATATTAAGACATTTTCGGAAGTACAGTGAACAGTCAGAAGCAGCCGGGTTCTAGGTCGGATAAGAAGGGTTTTTAATGTAATAGTGTAATAGGGGAGCAAGCTGGTCTAGTGGTTAGAGCGCAGGACTCCGTTACCTGGGGCCCCGGGTTCAAATCCCGCCAAATCACCAATGAATTTTATCTAAATGATAATGCTGTAACTCCTAGGTCTAGCCTGAAGTAATGTGAAAAACAATTCCGGGCTTATGCCTAGCGTCCTAGGACAAAAAAAGTGATAGTGTTAATTATATTTTTGTGATATTGTCTAATATAATGTTGTCAACAGATTCACTGGAAAGCATGAGGTCTGCTGGTGTTGTCGTTGCAAGTCCAGCTTCTACACCAGCCATTGCCCAGCAACCAACTCCGTTGAAGCACAAACTCTCTTCAAGTGTCTCCCTCCGTCCGTTGCACACGGTACTACCTTCGCAGCAGCACAGCAAACTTACTAACAACTCCTTGAGTGTAGTCCTAAACCCAATTTCACTCCATCCTAGTGTGGATATCAGTTTTACACCAGGTAAAGCCAAAGGCACATCCCTTGAACAATCAATTCTTTTGGGATTAGGGAAAGGTTCTCAGCCGAAAGTTGTCTTACCGAACCATACCCAGAGCTCTACGTCTAAACACTCCAGAAAAGTAGGCCCTTTATCCTCAAAACTGAAAGAAAAGGGCAAAAAGTCATTAGAAGTTCAAACAGAGGACACGTGTGTTTCCAAAGGATTGAAAAAGTCATTAGAAGTTCAAACAGAGGACACGTGTGTTTCCAAAGGATTGAAAAAGTCATTAGAAGTTCAAACAGAGGACACGTGTGTTTCCAAAGGATTGAAAAAGTCATTAGAAGTTCAAACAGAGGACACGTGTGTTTCCAAAGGATTGAAAAAGTCATTAGAAGTTCAAACAGAGGACACGTGTGTTTCCAAAGGATTGTTACTAGTATCAAATGAAGAAAAAACTCGAGGGGAAGAAAAAGTTTTAACAAAAAGTAATACAAATGCTGAAGTAAGCAAAAAATCTATAATGAGTGATACTAATCAAAGTCCCACAGTGAATGGTGTTACGATTGTAGAGAAAACTCCTAATAAAACTACAAATAACAAGAGACCACACAGGAAATCTAAAGCCAATTCCACACCAGAGGTGACAGAACTAGTTAGTCACAGGAGGACCAGAGGAAAAAAAATCTGTTATAGTAAACTATTAAGTGACCTCGATGATGGTTTTGGCGATGACTCCAGTGATCACGTTGAAGATGACATAAGTGATAATTCCAAAATCAGTGAAATAAAAGAAAGTAAAAATCTAGGCAGTCCCAAAAAAGATGAAAAGACATCTGATCCAACAATTAATGCCATAAACAAAGATTTAAATGGAAAACTTCCAGATATAACTAATTCAGTTCCTCTAACAACAAACTTAGATTCAGTAAAGAGTTCTCCTACAGAGAACTCTACAGATGCAGGAAGAAATGGAGGCGTAGATAGTTTATTAGCGAAAGAATCAAATACATCAAAAGAAGATGCCAAAGACGTTTTGTCATCGGATGAACAAAAAGCTGAAGAAGACGAAGAAGAATACACTTGCTCAGCGTGTAACATTAGGTTTACTTCGATTTACGAGCATATTAAACAGTATCACAATGGACAGGAAGTTGTTGTGGAGGTTAGTATGTTATTTGCACTTTTCATCCTAAGCTCTAAAAGACAATTTTCCTCATACTGCAGTGAAAATAGCTGTTTTAGTATATGCATCGCAGGTTTAAAGAAGCCCCTCTTTACTCCTATGTGGAGAAAGAGAGTAATCAGGGGCGTAAGTTATACATTATTCTAATTTATAAACTGTGATTGTAAGTAATTGTTTGCCCAGGCAAATTAGCCCAAAAAAGAGCTGTAGCTACTAAAAATTGGGGAAAAGCTGGAAATTGTTTTAATCTGCTCTGGAGATCCTAAATAAGTTAAAAATGAGTTTGCAACGGATGCTGAAGTGAGCTAAGTGTATGGAAGACAAAAAACTAGGTCGATTTTTTAAGTTTTTGCTTATAACTAAAAAAACAGTGCATCCCACAAAAAAGTGTTTGCATACTTTTCTAAAGAACATTAAATTCCCCGTCAAATTACGTTAAAATCATTAAAATTGGCTCTGTCGTTCTGCTACAACAGGTCGTCAAAGTTCAGTAATTTTAACATTCTCCTTGTCATCCTACTCTTGATGATTACGGTGTGTTCCGCCAGATGGCAGTGTATGCTATAGTGTTCGGTTAAAATTACCGAACTTTACCGACCTGTTGTAATAGAACAACTGAACCGATTTTAATCATTTTAACGTAATTCGACGCAGAACTTAATGTTCTTTAGAAAAGTATTTAAACACCTTTTTTGTGTAATGCACTGTTTTTTAGTTATAAGCAAAAAACTAAAAATGAGCAAAATCGACCTACTTTTTTGTCTCCCATACACTTATCTCACTTCAGAATCCGCCGCAAACTCATTTTTAACTTATTTAGGATCTCCAGAGCAGATTAAAGCCATTTCCAGCTTTCCCCCAATTTTTAGTAGCTACAAGTCTAATTTGCCTGGGCTATGTAAGCAACAAATGTTTTTATCGATTGTAGTTTAACCAAATTGCAGCAACATCATAATTTAATTAGCCTAAATTTATCCGTTAATCCAAAACTGTAATCCTTAAGATGAGTAGGAGAGTATTCTTTATTGCAATCGATTGTTCAAAGTGTTTGAAATATTAATAGTTATAGTCAATCACACTCCATAGTGCAATACTAACACAATCGAGTAAAAAATTATTTTGGATAGTATGAAGTGTTCCATTGTGTTTATTTTATGTATACTTGTATAACAAAACACAAGTAAGGAAAATTTATTTTTCTTTTTTCCTATAATTTTTTCCTGTTCTATGTCACGATTTCGCACGACCGGGAAAGGTACATTTAGTACCCTTTAAATTATTAATTTATTGAATAACTAACATGTTTCGGCTCTTAAGCCATGATCACAGTTATTAATAAACAGTAAATAAATAAATATAGGCTAAATGTTAATAAATAAGTAAATTATCATATATATACTAGCTGTTGGATCCGTGCTTCGCAACGGAGAGGGCACTGAAGCGAAAAAATTTGATCTTGAATTCTGTTGTATAAAAATAGTTACACATTCCCCTTTGGTTTCAGGAACATAACTTAATTGAAACTCTTAGTTTGAAGAATATCTTTCTTCAGGCTAGGCTAGGCTAACTTATAAGGCTACCTAGTACGAATTATATGAGGCGCTGATGCATTTATAGAAATAATTTACCCCTACAATTCAATTTTCAAATGATAAGCATGCTTAAACATTTATTTTGTTGATAAACATACATATAAAGTTAATAAGGAAAAATAATCGCACAGCATAAAGCACTGTAGTAAAGCAAAGAAATAATTATATTGATTTTACATATAATTGATATGTTTTACCGTAGCTAATGAGCTTTTTTTAGTTTTTTTCAAAGTTCAATCTTTACCTTGCAGATCAGTGTGTATTTATCAGAACAATTAGCAAAAATAAACTAAATATAAAATGGAAAACTTGTATTACCTTTTTTGGAAAACCAACCACTATTATTGTTAAACAGGGCACAAATTTAATCAATCTATACTTATAAAAGGCAAAGCCCTCACTGACTCACTAACTCACTCATCACTCATCACTATAGTTCGGCCGCTTAGAAAGCGACCTCCAGCATTGGTTTAGCATTAGCGCTCAGGTTGTTTTCTAAGCGGCCGAACTATAATTCTCCCACTTCCCATTTACCTAGGAGGCTGAAATTCGGTACACCGATTCTTTGGGCAATAAATAGGAAAACTAAGTAGTTTTTATTCTGATCGGGCTTTCGGGCTCCGCCCCAGTGGCTCTGGAGTTTCCCATGTTAAACTTATGATTTTTCATATTTAAAAGGAATTAACGAATCTTAACAGCTGTTTCAATTAAACAAGTTGGTTCTGTTCTATGATGTTCAATGTATTACCTTTTTTGGAAAGCCAACAAAGGATTTTAACTGTACCAGTACATATCTCTTAGTTTTGAAAATATATTAAAATCCTGATCCAAACATTTGTTTATCAGTTCAAATTTGTAAACAAAAAGCTACCATATCGAAATTATTCCAAAAAATTACACATTGTAATGATCCTTCTGTTTCCATGAAAATAAGTATACTTTCATAAATATTTTAAATCAAACTATTCTCATAATCATAAAACTTTAGAATCTTGGGAGCAGAACCTGTACCTCTTAACCTCTGCTGTTTGAACTGTAAAATTATAGTATTTACAGGTGACTTCAATTAAAACTTTTTACTAATTACATTGTTCCAAAATGTAAACATTGATACTTTGGAAGCCCATGGGGCGTAGCCCAAGGGAAATATAATAACAGGAATAGGCCTATATGTTAACCAGGTATATAAGCTACCTTCATACAAAACTTTACTTCAATCGGTTCAGTGGTTCTTGCATTATTAAGTAACAGACAAACACACACTAACACACACCATCTTATTTTTATATATTAGTATAGATGTGTGTCCGTTAGCGCGATAACTCGAGAAAAATGATCCGATTTTGATGAAATCTGGTACAGACGTGTAAACCTACGTTTATTCAAATGAGTTCGGGAACCAGCATAATCGGACTATGGGAACCGGGTTTAATGGGGGGTTTTATGGGGTAAAAATAGATTTTTCCCATTTTTGACCCTAAAAACACAAAATTTCACAATTTCTCTGCAAACCATTTTGTAGAGCTTAAAAAAAATAATTTTCAAATTTTGTATATCAAAGCGTTGTTGAATGCCCAACAGTTACGGAGATAATTAAAAAAATTGTAAATTTAAAATTCCCATGTTATTTATTTGGAGAATAAATAAACCATCATAGTTTGCTTGTTTATGGATATATTTAAACCAAATTTGGAAATTTTGTTTATTTAATACTAAGCTGTGGACATGGCAATAAAAAAAGCCAATATCTTCCCTGTAGCAGCAAACCTAGGTACTCACCAAAATTAATATTAATTAAATACATCTGGAATATTTTAGTAGAAATCCAGCCAGGTAAATGGAAATTCGCTTAGTCTGCAGGTTTGCTGCTGCGAGGGTATTTTTATTTTTGTATAGCAAAACTGAAAACAAGATGGAATTCATTACCCAAAGTGAAGAAATAATCTATTTTGTATGGTTAAATATAAACTGTCTATACACAAAAATCTAACAAAATCAATTTGTTATTTCACCTCTCCAAGGTTAGTCAAGTAAAAAATTGTAATTCTGTACATAGCATCCATTTTGTGGGGCAATTTTTCTTCCTCAATATATAAATAAATATGTGTAGCCCAAAGTAACAGTCTTTCCAATCGTAACCATATTTTAAAGAAAATACCATATACACAGCTACAGCTTATATGCATCTAGTGATATAGTTTGGATGTATAGTTTACTGTTGCACACTAATTACACTGGTCATGTTTGATGCCATTTTCTCATCATGCGTTACAATTTCAATAATCAAGTGTTATGTGTTACCTGTAACTGTCACTATTTTAACTTTTAAGTCCTTTTTCTTCTCAAAACTACTGTATTTGCCACTCTAAAAGAATATTTACCAATTACAAGCTGTCATAAAATGTTTTTCTTCTTTTAGGTTCCTGAGGAAGAAATAAAAGAAGATTTGAAAGCGTATCAAGAAACATCAGAATCATTGGTGTCGATTTCAGGACCTGAAGCCACCGACACGCCGACACCGCCTATTGACAAGGGGGAGATTCCAGAGGTAAAAAATGAAATTACCTCTCCCTGCCCCGAAGCAAAAACCGCAGGGAAAAAAGATACTTCGGAGGTCAAAAATGGAATTACCTCTCCTCGACCTAAAGCTGAAAGCAGGGTTAAAAATAGAAGTTCAAATACTGAAGACAGTGAAAATGATTCAGAACACACTAAAACACCAAAGAAGGCTAAAAATGACACTGAAGAACACTGGGAAGAGTTACGGACAGAGAAGAAAAAATTCTACCATTTTGTGAGGAACAGGGAAAAATTCAATTTGCTTCTCTCCGAGTTCAAGAATAATCTCTCTATTCACCCTGAGTTCAAAACGACAATGAATTCTTTATTCGAATCTCCAAAAATTAACGTCGTTGAAATCACATACCGAGAAAAAACACCTTATTTTGCAAACAGAACAGTCAACTTGAATAACCCCATGCCGATTTTTATTGTCGACAGAGAGGCAACTGACAACCCGGCCTTACTCGGTGGCATAGCTAGTTTTGTCATGGCTGGCAAGGACAGGACTCCTGTGCCGAGCGATTCTAAACTGATCGCTGTAATGAAGGTGATACTCGCGAGTGACCGGGAACTGACGGTGGAGAATCTGGTGTTCAACGACAAACCACTCAATGCGGATATGGTGCCTGTGTTGGAGGATGTCAAAACCCCAGAGATTCCGTTGTTGAAACACGCTAAAATGCTCAAGTGGAGATGCAACAAGTGTTTGGGCACTACTTGGAAGTTCCCTGTACACAAGGACTCACACTTGTGCAACGCCTGTCCCATCTGCCACCAAAGCTTTACCAGTCCGGTGTCACTCAAGAAACATTTAGTTGTAAGTAAACATTAATCTGTGTCATGTTCTTTTTATTTTCTAATAGATAATTTTGTACACAATGAACTGTTATATTTTGACATACAGTTACTTAAAGTTTGGCACAAAGGTTAGGTTGACCATGTCCAGGAGTAAGAAAAGACGTAATTGGTTCCTTTTATAGGAAGCTACACCCAGTTTCAACCATGTCTTTAACAAATGACCAGTTATTGTAAGTAATTTAGATCAATCAGTTCAAGTGACTTGCTGTAGTTTTACTTAATATGGAAATACTTTTACTTTACAAAAACCTTACACTACAATAATAAATTAGTCTGGTATTTTTCAGTTTACAAATATTGCTGTCCCATCCAAAAAAGAGGTAGTCTTCTGTGCAATATTTTTAATGTACAGGATAAAAAAAATAACAAGCTTGGACTTGTAAACGCTCAAAGATTGTGGGTTTGTTTTATAGGCTAGACATCATAAAATTCACCCCCTTAAATCAATGCTTACCCCAGAAAGATCTTGAAAGTATTGTTTGCACTGTAATTTTTTGCTGTTTCAGCTTCACAGGAAAGATGGTACAAAGTATTGCACTGAGTGTCGAGCTGCGTTTGTCAGTAAAGAAGCACTTAACCGTCATTTGACACTGCACACGACGCATGTCCTGTGTGACAAATGTCAACTCTTTGTACAACGGGAACTCTTTGAAATACACAAGGATGTACATAGTAGTGACTTATCTGAGCAGTTTCCATGCAGGTATGTGACCCGATTACTTCAATGGACTAATATGTCCAAATACCAGGATGTAAAATTACACTGTTAGTTTATAAAACTGAACAAGTATGAGCTTATAAATAGTACCATACTCATAGATAATTGGTATTTTTATTGTTGTATCTGGTTACTTCGCCCCGGTTTTCCCCTGCATTTGGCAATACAGAGAACCTGTTAGTAATTTTCTTCAGTGCTGCTACCTGTTGGTTTCTTGTAGAACTACGCCCACAACGACTGGAACACAGTACATGCTGCATTGAGCCTCTCCTATTTAATGACATCAAATTTAAACATTTTTTACATTTTCACACACTCATCCATACAGCTGCCAGCTATCATGCAACTAAATCAAATGTTTAAGGTTCACCAGTAAACGGATACCAGTTTCATTTGGATCCTTGAAAGAAGAATGATTTAACATTTAAAAGATTCAATAAGTCTGGAATAGATAAATTTTTATCTAGCCTTTTAAACACAGTAAATTCAATTCAAATATCTTTATTCATTTTTTTGTACATTGTACAATAAATAGTGTCAAAATAATCACAGTTTCAATAGGATAAAAACAGCAAAAAATGAGGAATGATTATAAAAACAACAAATAGGCCCACATAGTATTATAAATCTAGCAAGATAATGTCAACTATCGTAGGGACTTAGGGAGGTCGAAAAATCTTCCAAAGAATAAATTGCTAAATTTATTAAAAACTCTTTCAATATTTGTATTAAATTTGTTTGGATCTATTTTTTTTTTTTATATATTATTTGGAATAAATTTTAAAAATCTATTACCTGCATAAGATGATTTAGTCCTGTGTGGTTGTATATTTTTGGTCTTATTTCGTAAATTATAAGAATGGGATTTTCTTTTGGTTCCGAATATACTTCTTGTGTTTTTGCAATTATTATTGATTCATATATATATACTGCCCGTAAACAGTAAAGATTTTTAGGTCCTTAAAATGTTTTTTAGCTGACTCATCACGCTGCAGTAAAGTCAGCCTCACTAACCCTCAGTGTTGTAACCTAAGTAAAACCTCAATAACTTGACATCCGGTAACTCGACAGTCTGTGTAACTCAATTGTCAACAGCTGACAGGGCAATTGAAAAAAAAACCATTTTTTTCAGAAAATTAAGTTTTAAGGGTTGAATATTTGACATTTCTTTGAAGATTGTCTACTCAGGTATGTAAACGTACTCAAGTAAGTGATACATTTATAGGTAAAAAAATTAGTCAGTTATTTAGGCTACTCATTTATTGAAACCCATTTAAAATGTTAATATTTTGGATAACTCGACAACCTGAAATCTATAAATTGTCGAGTTAGTGAGGTTTTGCTGTAATTTATACTAAAAACTGGATAAAGTTGCTGGTAACAGTTTTACCACTAAATCAGTAAAACGTTACACTAAACTAGCAAAGAATCAGCTGATTTTATCTTTTGTTTCACGTTCCAGTGTGTGCAAGAAGGTTTTTGGATCAGGTGAAGATTTGAACAAACACGAGACCAAGGTGTGCTCAAAGTTGGTCGCTCGGTTTAACTGTTTCACGTGCGACAAGAAGTTTCTGTCTAAGACAGCCCTCATGTACCACACAAAGGCCCATGAAAATTCTCCTGTCAAACTCAAGTGTCGTTTCTGTCCTAAAATATTCATTGAGGAAATGGAACAGGTGAGTTATAATTGACAGAGTTATTGACTTCTGACACTTACAATAACAAATTAAGGATTTGACGTTTCTCTTGTCTTGAATAATGGTGATAGTTAGAAATGAAATGAAACATTTATTTGTCACACAAAATTTAGGCTACATAATTGTGGTACATCACTAGTAAACATATGACATGGAAGTTTTTTTCCTTTTAAAACTAAAAGGAATTTAGGAATATTTTTGAACATTTTAAAATAATTTCTTTTCAATATCTTTTGAAGTCCTATATTAGGATGAAATATCAGTGAACTATACCGTACCACACAAAGGCCCATGAAAATTCTCCTGTCAAACTCAAGTGTCGTTTCTGTCCTAAAATATTCATTGAGGAAATGGAACAGGTGAGTTATAATTGACAGAGCTATTGACTTCTGACACTTACAATAACAAATTAAGGATTTGACATTTCTCTTGTCTTGAATAATGGTGATAGGCTAGTTAGAAATGAAATAAAACATTTATTTGTCACACAAAATTTAGGCTACATAATTGTGGTACATCACTAGTAAACATATGACATTGAAGTTTTTTCCTTTTAAAATTAAAAGGAATTTAGGAATATTTTTGAACATTTTAAAATAATTTCTTTTCAATATCTTTTGAAGTCCTATATTAGGATGAAATATCAGTGAACTATACCGTTTTATCAATGTCTACAGTGTGTCCTAGCACATTGACTTTTACATACCAGGTTAAGCCAGCACTACACTATCCCGTTTTGCCGGTCCGGGCAAACAGAAGCCGTTTGGCAGGATGGTTAGAACTCATGGGTTTTAATGGCCACGGTCACTAAAGTTGAAAACACGTGCAGTTAAATGAGAGCAGCCACACCATCCCGTTGTGCCTGCTGTCGCTATCAACAGTGCACAGGATGTGATGCTCGCGCTCTTCACTCGAAGTATGTTGAGGTAGAACAGGAAGGTGTGACAAGGTAATGTGTTTGCGGTAAAAGCGCATCCATCTCAACCGCATCCTGCTTAACGGAATAGTGTGGCGCCGGCCTTAGACATCCTATTTGGGCCAACTGTAGGAAATCTGTATTCACATAGTATCCATGGTATCTCCAAGTGTTTTTTCATTTATTTGAATTTTTTTATTGTGATTTTCTCACAAAAACGCATAAAAAATGGAAAAATTTGAACGTATATAAGATAGTAAATATATATACATGCATATACAAATTTGAACGAATAGTGTTTTTGGCCTCTGGGGACATCAAAATAAAAAAGTAAATCGGTCCTGGGCTCAAGTCTTATCATGAGACTTGGTAATAGCTACTTCCCTACAGGGAAATTCGCTAAAACAACTTATTATTAAACGTTACACATTTTGTATCAATCATCCAAACTATCACATTGTAAAAAAAAACTAAGAGAGAAATCAAATCTCATTTAACTACGAATACAGAGTTTACAGAGTACAGAGTACCTATTTGAATACAGAGTAACTATGTGAATACAGAGTAACTATGTGAATGCAGATTTTCTACAGTTGGCCCATATAGGATGACTAAGGCCGGCCCACACTATCCCGTTTAGCAGGATGCGGTTGAGAAGGATGCGCTTTTACCGCAAACATATTATCCTGTCACACCTTCATGCTCTACCTCAACATACTCACATTCTAAATTTCATCAAAATCGGAGCACAGGGTTAGTCTGTGGCTCTGTACACACATACTCACACATACACAGATATCACTTCTAAAACCACTTTTTTGGGTTCAGGAAGACCCAAAACAAATATATCCTCACAAAACTCAAACTCGAAAATGATGACGAAATCAATAGGGTACTTTCTCCATATTAATACCGGTATGGGGGATGAAAGTAAAAAGAATTTAAATTTATCTAGTGTAAAATGTATTAAAAGTACTTGGGGTATCTGTCATCTTGAAACTAATAAGCTTTTGTATCAAGTTCAAATTTATGGAACTACAAAAAGATTTTACTACAAAAAAATGATCTATACCTACACTTATATGTTGTGTTGTACAATAAATACTACAAAACCCATCCAACAACAGCCTAGACATTTTCTTAGTTGTTTTTCAAGGAATAAATAAATATATAGTGTAATAGTAATATTTTTGTCCTTAACTTTAAAAGTAGGGTTAATGATAAAAGTTTAAGATTTAACCACTTAACCAACTATGTTCTTTTTAAAATTTGTTTTCAATTATTCAATAATCATATAATTTTACAAAATTTATAACCTTTTTTTTTATGATTCAAGTAGATACTGACAAAAATAAAGTTCTCTCACATTCACTTAGGCCTACTAATAATCTACCACACGACATTCTATGGTGAAGTTGTTACTTTAAGCCCTTAGCCCCGTTACTTTCATTGTAGGTAAAATACAACTAATAAACCACTTTAGGATTGAAGGTTTTCTTTTCCTTGTCATTCTGACATCGGAACATGATATGATGTATGTAAGATTTTGTTATAACGTTACTTGTGCAAAAAACTTTGCAATATATTTCTTTCTTGTTTGTTAAAAAATATTTAAAGTTTTAATTTATTTTCTCCCTTGTCCTATTATTTCTTACTATCAAAAATTCATGTTTATTCTAGTAAGCTAATTTTTAATAACTCGTTTTGCTTTTTCAGTGTCCTAAAAAGGCAGGGAAAAGAAAACCTTCCTACTTCAATCAGAAAGTGAGTTTGAGCTATACTTATTTTTCATTTAGCATGGTATGAATATAATTTTTAAAGATGCAAATATTTTTTATCTGCACTCTTAAGCTTTTTGTGAAGCTTATTACCGTACCAAAATTACCAGGTTCTTGAGCAACGTCTAGAAACTACTGTTAATACTATGGTCGCACAAGGAAGTTCTGTAGTACAAAAGAATCAAAATGAGCATTTTCCTAAGTATACCCAACCTCTGCCCAATGCCTGCTAACTCTGTGAAATAAACCTAAACTCTGGCTTATTCTGTGTGAAACACACCTGAAACCAATGCCAGATTAGCAGAGTTTTAGCGAATATCCCTATAGGGAAGTAGCTATTACCATAGGTGGCATGGTAAGACCTAGACCCGGGACCGATATACTTTTTCATTTTGATGTCCCTAGAGGCCAAAAACACAATTCCTTCAGATTTTTATGTATGTACATATATAGATTTATATACAGGGTGTTGAAAAGTCTTAACACACCCAAAAATAAATTAAATGATGTAAGATAAAATTTTGCAACTTCAACATATCATTATCATATGATGACTTTTCTAGCTTTTTGCAGGAAATCAAAATGTTGCCCCCCCCCCATTTAATTCTAGGGGGCAAAAAGTTTTCAAATGTAAAGACCCATGTTGTGACGGCTTTGGAAAATTTTTGATTCCATATTGACTTGATTTGGATTTGATAAATTGTCTTAAGAGATAGCACTCATGATGTCTTAATCATATCTTCAACAAACTCACTGATTTAATCTCAACATAGAAGTGACTAGACCTGGACACAATCGGGTCTGCATGTTGGCTGGCTTCATAATACATCTTTGTGTTCAATTTCAGCCCAGTTAGTTCAGTAGTTATTTCCTTCACTCACAAACACACAGACACCACATCTTCTTTATGATACAAATGTCAGTAAAATGTTGATTCTTTCGCAGATCTGGCATGAGCGGATACACACGCGGGAGAGGCCGTACATGTGCAAGTCCTGTCCCAAGTGGTTCCGTACCAAGCATCATGAGGTGCAGCACAGCTTGACAGCTCATTCAACCTCCAACACATCAACTACTAAGAGTGTACGTTTCCACATGTGTACTTATTGTGATAAAGTGTTTAGTGGTGAGAGACAACTCCACAAACACATGCAGAAACATACTAAGTGACTCTCATAGGTGAAATTATTTCAGGCACTTTTGGAATATAGTTCAGTAAGCTCACCTGTGAAATTTAGAGCCCAGTGCACATAGGCCTTCTGAAACGGAATGAGCTTCAGTTTTGAACTTGGGTGAAAATGATCTTTAATCTATCCTCAGTAGAAGTCCTATATTTGGACGAAATATCAGTTTAATTTCTTGTGACCTTTTTGTGTATCATTTAGCTCCAGGACTGAATACCTAGCACTATACCTATCCCTTTAAAAATCCAAGATTAGATAAGAAACGTTATTCTTTTGTACATTAGTTTTGATATATTAGCCTCTAAAATACTGGATTAATCGAAAATATTTTAAACTACCTGATCTATTGAGTGATCTTTGTTTAGAAGTATGCTACTAAAAATGTACTCGTTTATTTTTCACCTAAGAATCAAGAATTTATTACAACAAATTATAAACTGTACATTTTGTATAGTTGATGTCAACACATGAATGGGCAAAAAGTATCAATGCTCCTCTACAGTATAGTGAACAGTGGATATTATATTTATGAGGGCCTACAAGATATAATACAATGATACTATAATATTATACGGGAATTTAACATACCATGGACATCCAGTCAGGACACTAATATCAATGTCAGACATAAAAAAATTCACTTAAACTATAAAGAGGATGATTTTATAACCAGCAAAAAAGTTTACTTTCGAATAGCTTTAAATCAACACAGTATGCTTCAGCTGGCAAATTATTCTTGAGACTTTGTTAGTGTGACCAAAGGTCAGATGGACCTGAGAGCATCCACAAGCCAAGTATTTGATATTCTTGTGATATCTGTAAATGGTTTCTGAAGCCTGAAACCTAATAGTTTATCTCTAAACAGGGGCCTCTTGACAGATCAGGTAATAGAAACCATTTACAAAAATTTTTGTTGACTTAATAGCTTGCATGTCTTATCTCATTTGGGGTATTTTTGAATGAGATTGGTTCCTTAATCCTCAGCCTTTCTGTCAAAAATTGATTCTGAAGAGTCAAAAAGATAGTGTTTTAAGGTATTTGTTTTTAATTTACGGTATACACTGTGAATAGAACATCTTTGTTCTGCTTGGTTTACTATTGAATAACGGTGCATGTTTGTTTGGTGAGACAACTAATTTCTAGACATCAATACTTTTAATAAATAAAATCTCGATTGAAAACAGTTAACCCATTGGATCTAGTTTTCCTATTGTTTAAATTCTACATTAATGTATGGAATTAATATAGAAAATAAACAGTATCAGAAATCTGACACATACTTTTAGGAATTAGCTTATCAATAATAATTTATTATCTTGTGTTTTTATGCACTTAAATTTAATGTTTGATTTGTTTTTGTTTATACTGGTTTGTTTCTCCTAAACAAAATTAAGATAGCTTGTAATGCTGGCCCGTCACAAGGTTAATAATTGCTATTTAAAATAGTTTTAAAACGATTTTTTCACAGTTCCTTGTAAATAGATTACACAATCAATCTATTATTAAGTAACCATTTAAATTAAGTGTCTGGACCCTAGATGACCAACCCAAATGGGGGTTTTAAGCAAAAGAAAGAACATCTTTAGTTTTTTAATGAAATCACTCAGTATAACAGATTAATCTTTACCTGTTATAATGATTGATGTCAAATGTAAATATAGATTTAATATTTGATTTTCCATTGCTTCTCATGTGTTTTTAATGAAAAAGAAAGAGTAGGCTATTTTAAGTTTTTAAATGAAATATATATATAACTTATAACTTACTTCTAAACCTGTTAATGAAGGCTAGATTGATGTAAATATAGATATAAGATTTGGGTTTCCATTGGATCTCAGGAAACAAAGATGAAACATAGGTTTATGTTATTATGTTGTTTGTATTTTATATGCGTTCTCACTTTTAAATTAGGTACTATGTCTGTAGCAATCAGTTGTACAAGCTTCTTACATCTATAGGAAGTGTTAAATATATTTTGTCAATACGATAAAACCATAGTTTGTATTTTTCAACATTATACTTGTATATATTATGTGCAGTTTAATATAAATATTGTTTCTAACTATCTTTATTTACTATACAATTAATCTGTAGAACTCCCTGGATGATTTAGTGATGCTTATTTATATGATTATCCGTCATTTTGTGACTGCGACAATCCAAATTCCTATAAAACAAGTTTCAAGACACATAGCAAGGGAAGGCAACTCACAAAATTCACCCTTTATACTGAGTCATTTGCTTTTAGTTAGGCCTCTCACAAAGACAAGTAAATTCTGCATAACACCTAACCGAAATGATTCCAATCCTTGGTCTCCTGGCAAGAGAAGCAATACCTTGACTTGCGTTTACACCTGAGTTTACAAACAAAATTTAAGACTTGAGACTTGATGATGAAAAGTTATTTTCTTCTGTATGTATACCGGGTGCCCATAATACTTCTCTCCTGGTTAATTTTTGAACGCTGCATATATTCAAACGAGCATCGATACACGTTTATCTATATATCATCTATATATATATATATACATAATACGCTAAGCCGATTTTTGTGAACAGAACTCCTTCCTCATTTTTGGACCGATTTTGATGATTAAAGTGTCAAAAAAATGGCCCTTATCTGTAGTTTTGCGAAGTGTTTTTCATTTTTAACGAATTTCCCATATAGGGAATAAGCTATTACCGTAGTACTCATGGTAAGACCTGGACCCGGGACCGATTTAATTTTTGTACAGGGACTGCAATTACAAGTGAACAAATTCTTATCCATATAGCAAAGCTACGCTAATGTTAAGACAAACATTAATGCTCGGGATCTGTTATTGACTAAATTATTTTGGTTTCATGTGCTTTAATAGTAAGGTATTGCCTAAATTTATGCTTAAGTGAATTTACCAAACAACTCAGATTGGAAAGAGTACATTCAACAGCAGTATTCTGGTCAACTTTAGAAATTGACTATTCAGCATCCTCAGTCAAAGTTATCCATGTTAAAAGTGAATAATATAGGCTATTCTTTTATTTTTTTTATCCTGAACCATTCACTTGGGAAACAGTACAATTTTCACTTGGAATCTAATATTTTATTTGATATCTTTTGTGGAACAATTGACAAGAAAGGTAACACTCACATTCAATAACTTTATGTTTATTACAAAAATTATTTTTATACTAATGTGATGGTTGTTGGAAAAATTTGTAAACAAGAAAACAATGGTTAAAAACGTATATAATTGTATAACTTACAAATTGTTTATACATTTAACAACAACATACACTAATATGTACAAAAAACAACTCATAATAACAGTATTTTAATGTAAAAAAACTATGTATACCTAAATTAATACATGTTTTATAAGGGGGTTTGAAATGTAATATGTAAAACTGGTGTAATGTAACATGAAATTTTATTACTGAGATCTAATATAATTATAAACGTTATTATGAATCATTTTACATTTTTGCTTGATTTTGATTCTATGACTCTTCCTGCATTTACAGGGACAAAGTTAACCTGGAAAAGGCATACTCAATACTGCTGGAATTGTTTATAAAATAGTAGAAAAGACACTTTTTGCCTGTGAACTATATTTTTTGTCTTATTGCATGCAGCTTTAGTTTTAACAAACTAATTTATATAACAAAAAGCACAGAGCTGCACAATTGGCACACAGCTCAAAATTAACAAATTGTATGCCTTTCATAATTCTTTTCCTAACACATAAAACGTGAAAAAATGGCGATGATTTCTCAACTTTCATGGAATTTTGAAAAAAATACTCTTAGAGGAGAAATAATTTGTATAAATGTTTTTCAAAGCTTAAAAAAAACAACTTCCATAATAATTGTAAAAATTCCAAAACAAAAATAATGTTATTCTTCAAAAATGTGGATTGTTACTAAATTTAGAAACTTTAACCGAATTAGCAATCAGAAAGTGAACTCCAATTTCTAAATTTTTTTGTTCTTGTATGTACCAATAACAACTTTCCCGCACTATAGCAACTTAAATTTTACAGATTTTTATACATCAACCTAATGTAAGATGGCCATTTACCGTTTCAATTAGTAAACTGAAAAAATGTGTGATATTTGTTTGCCGAACAATATTGACTTTATTCCCATATTATATTTTCTGATGTAAATTGTCTGCATCAATGACTTACAGCAATCTTCTGAGAAAATCTTTTTTTCCTAAACCGTTTTTCAACAAACAGATAACGAGATAACAGTGTAAGTAGTCATATTTTAATACAAGTACCGGTACACTCACAATGAATCTCACAAATAGATATTTGTTACAAAAGGCTAGGCCAGATGAAACCATAACACGCAGCCTTTTTTATCCTTATGACAACCATATACTGGTTACCAGCTAGGAACCCTTTCTCAAGAGATGGATCATAAGTATTTAGGAAACACCAGGATTGGACTGAGGCTCATCAATCGCTGTCATCTTCATTACGACTTCTGTTGAGCGGCTGACGACTCTCCTCATCCGACCCATAGATCACATCTTCGTCAGAATCATTGATCATGGAAAAGGCGGGGTTGTCCTTCGTGATACCTGTTTCTGAAACAAAACGCCAAACATGGTAAAATTACGATATTTACACTTCAGTACGAGTGTTAGTATAGATAAAACACTATGAATTAGAATTAGACATATTTTTTTTGACATTCTACTGTTTGTGTACTGTTGTGTAGAAATGAAAATCAAGGGATAGAGGAAGATGGTATAATCTTGCTTGTAGTAGCGGTGGAAGTATGGCGGTATTTTTTAATGTCTGAGGTTACACTTGGGACTACTGGAATGGCTAACATGGTCAGGATTGGGGGACGAGATGGTCCAATGGTAGAGCGAGGTGCCTTGATCCCTGAGATCCTGATTTAAAATCCTGCTAATTACCAATAGCTTTAGTACTGTGATGATGCCGGGACACTCTAGGTTAGCATTAAGTATTGTGTAAAACGGTTTTGGCTAGGTTTGATATAAAATAACATCAAAATAAAAAAAAATAAATTAAAACTGGATTACGAATGGAATGTAGATAAAAAGTAGGTTCAAAAGAGTCTTGAATTAAAATCAAAACAAATATCTACTGGAGTTTACTAAAATAAGGTAACCTACCGAAGATAGTCTTCTTGCTAGGGGAGTAGACATAGGTCATTGTATAAAGGTAGAAGTTGAGTAGACCGTAGCAAGCCATGAACTGAGCAGAGCTGGCGTAGTTAGTGGACAGGTCAGCAACAAAGTTGTCTTCCAACACTCCTAGACCAAACCTTGACACGGTGATGGACATGCTGATAGACAACACGATCAGCATCAGAAGCGTCACAAACTTCAGTCGCATGTCTGCAATCACAATCAGTATGGCAGTGTGTCAATAACTAGAACTTAATGTCCACAACACCTTAGGTCTGTTCTACATGGGAAGTAAATACCCCCGCCTCAGCAAACCTGCAGACTAAGAAAATTTCCATTTGCCAAATTGGATTTTTACTAAAATATCACCATTAAAATGTCAAATTTATATACCCTATGTCAATTTAAATAAAATTAGTTTACTGAGTTGGGTTTGCTGCAATAGGGAAGGTAACAAATTGCTCTTATAATTAAATGTTGATAGTATAGTATGAAATAAATAAATTTTCTTACAGTCACCCGACAAAGTGACACTGCACTGATTATAGTACAAAAAGCTGCTTAATTACTTACTTTGCCGCACACTTTTAGCAAATTTCCCATATATTGAGTTTGGATACTGCAAGTATACAGTTTGTTTACGTGAACCCGACGTATCATTCAAATTGAATACTGTCAATAGACATTCCATTTAATTGAACTAGGCATACCATTGACTTAGGATACTGCAAATAGGCATTTAATATATGAGAAGCAGATGAAACATAGACTTTGGTTCCTGCAAGTAGACAATTTATTTACGTGAACCAGGCTTATATAATTGACTTTGAATACTGAAAATAGACATTCCATTTATGCAAACCAAATACACCATTGACATTGGATACTGCAAGTACCTATTTAATTTCATTTACGAGGAACAGATGTAGCATTGACTTAAGAAAAATTGGATTAATATTCTTGCTCCGCTCAATATTGCAAGCAGACAACTGCACTGTACACCTAGTGCAATGAAGTATGAACTACTATTGTCAACAATAGTAGTGCACAACATACGGAGTTAGTCAAGGTGAGACCAGTGAGCGTCAATGTCGATGTGTTGTGTGTTTGTGGCATGTGTGGTGAGAGGGATGGGGAGCTGTAGGTGGGAGCCGGGAGGGGGAAGGAAGTGTTCTGACACTGCGCTGTCCTAGTGACTCATTCCACAGATAACACAATGCGTGCTCATCCTCAAACTCGCTCCGTACAAGTTCATCCGGACCATAAACAATTCGTAAACAGTCTAACAGTCAGATAGCATTCATCATTTCACTTGTGTTTGCACTTGAAATGTAATGATTTTCTTTTGCAACAAACGTCACATTAAAAATATTTTGAACAATTTTTGTTTGAAAAAGATCTGTGCCCGTGTTCGCGCCCCCAACAACTGGCGCCCGTGGCTCATGTCCCCCCCCCCCCCTCTAGTAACATCCCTAGCGATCCGCTGGCAAGAGTTGATGACGTCTTTCCCGCTATAACTGAAGAATAGGGTATATATTCATAGCGAGAAAAACATCACGCTAGAAATAATGTAAACTCCGAAAATCTCCATTCCATAGTATTGACTTACCAAAGAATGGCATCGAGCGCAGTTCGCTGTAGGCTCTCAAGATAAGGCACAACAAGTATGTAATGTAGAGGCCCAAGAACAAAAAGAAGGTCATCTTGAAATTCTGTAAAAAAACCAACAAAATTACTAAAATACTCTTACGAACTATAACCTGCAATTAATTGCACTGTTGCTGTAATTATATTTTTTATAAATTTGTTGATCATCCGAAAAAGGTCATTTTATAAAGTCTGATCTTATAAGAAT